GTACTGATTATAATACATGGAAGTTCATGATGGAACTTTATCTAATTCATGAAGACTTGTGGGAATACACTCAAACAACACCAGCTGCTAGTGATGTTTCCGGCTCTAAAAGAGATCAGAAAGCGAGGGCAAAAATCTGTTTAATGATTAAACCACATTGTTTGATACACGTACGTGAATCGAAGACTGCAAAAGCGGCATGGGATGCCCTGAAGACTGCCTTTGAAGACAAGGGCCTGAATAATCGATGCAGACTTCTTACAAAGTTGGTGAGCCTGAAACTAGAGCAATTTTCTTCAATCAGAGACTACATAACTGCCATAATGACAGTAGCGCAACAGCTACGTGATCTGGGCAAAAAGGTAGATGATGAATTACTTGCAGCGTTGATGCTACAGGGGTTGACAGAGACTTTCCAACCCATGAGGTTAGCAATAGAAAACACAAACATAGAATTGACTACAGATTACGTCAAAACGAAATTACTTCAGATGGAGGATACTTATCAAGCAAGTCCTAGTACCGTGACAACCGCATTACAAGCTAAAAATAAAAGTCAGAAAGATAAGTCACACAAGAATATGAGTAGATCACGTGTCGTTAAGTGCTTCATATGCAAAGAGAACCATAAGGCTAAGGATTGTCCGAAAAACCCTATTCAAAAGAAGGATGCCTTAACCTCATTAGCGTTAGCAACAGCAGCACAAGGACATGGAGAATGGATTCTCGACTCCGGAGCTTCTAACCACATGACAAATCGGAGAGATTGGCTTAAAGACTTTAAGAAATTAGACAAATCAATTGTAATAGCTTGTGCAAATGGAGAAACTGTGGTTGGTGAAGCAATTGGTAATGTAGTCAACGAGGATATGGACGTCTCAATTAATAATGTTTTGTATGTACCTAACTTAGCTACAAATTTACTCAGTGTTAGCACAATTGTAAATAAAAACCTTGTAGTTGTATTTGAGAAATCTGGCTTTAAGATAATCAAAGCAGATGGATGTAAGGTTTCCGGGGAGACCTTGTATGAAGGTACTGCAAATAACGGTGTCTATAAAATACAGTATTGTTCACAGGAAGTAGGTCTAGCTTCAACCGCTGCTGACGAAATAATATTGTGGCATAGGCGAATGGGACATCTAGGGGTACGGAACCTAATGTTACTTAAAAACAAAATGGCAGATGGGGTAAGTTTTTCTAATACTGCTTCTAAGCTAGAGTGCGAAGCGTGTGCAGTAGGAAAACAGACCAAGAACCCTTTCAAGAAAACTGGTGCCACTAGGGCAAGTGAGGTCTTAGGGTTAGTCCACACAGACGTGTGCGGACCCATGAGAGAGAAGTCGTACGGAGGCTCACGATATTTTCTCACATTCATTGATGATTTCACTAGAAAAACATTTGTATATTTCTTGAAAAGTAAAGGAGAGGTCTTTGAGAAGTTTGCCGAATTCGTAAAACTTACTGAACGTCAAACTGGAAAGAAATTTAAAATTATCAGATCTGATAATGGCAAAGAGTTTGTCAATAAGCGTATGGATGAGTTCTGTAAAGCAAAAGGGATCTGTCACCAACTGACAATAGAGTATACACCCGAACAAAACGGAGTTGCTGAGCGAGCTAACAGAACTATCACTGAAAAAGCCAGGACAATGTTAGAAGAAGCTGGTTTAGGCAGAAAATTGTGGGCAGAGGCAGTCAACACCGCCGTGTATTTAAAAAATAGGTCTCCAACTAAAGCCTTGAGAAACAAAACGCCCGAAGAAGCTTGGACTGGAAGAAAAGTGAACTTAAGCCACCTCAGAGTGTTTGGATGTAAAGCTTATCTTCATGTTCCAGATCAGAAGCGCACAAAATGGGATCCTAAGGGCACAGAGTTAGTCCATGTTGGATATGGCGAAAACGGTTATCGCCTTATTAACCCTACGACAGGAGTGTTGCACAGAGGTAGAGATGTTATATTTTTTGAAAACTCAAAAGTACAGCTACGTGCTCCCGTTAATCAAGCCGTCCCGCTACCGCTGACGGATGTTACGGTTGAGTATGATAGAGTTTCAACTCATCATGAAGAGCCAGAAATTCCTGAAGAACCTGGAAATCCAGCTCTTGAGAATGTTGAGGTTGAATATGAGGTTTGGGAATCATCTGACGAGGGGAATGAAGCAGATCCTGAGGATGGTCTTGTAGAAGAAGGTAGAGAGCTACCAGTAAATGACAATGGGCCATCAGATAGAAGATATCCGCTTCGAGAAAGAATACCAAAAGCATATCCAGATTTTGTAACTTACCAAGCAGTCAAGGCATCGCCAGACCCTTTAACTGTTCAGGATGCATTATCTAGAGAAGATGGAGACAAATGGAAAGCCGCAATTGAGGAGGAGCTGAGAGCCCTCGAGAAGAATAAAACTTGGACGTTGGTGAAGCAGCCAAAGTCGTGCAACATTGTTGATTCGAAATGGTTATTTCGAATTAAAGAAGAGGCGGGGGGAAAGACTCGTTATAAGGCACGACTTGTAGCAAGAGGATTCAGCCAACGGAGAGGAGTCGACTACTTTGAAACTTTTTCGCCTGTAGTCAGACATAGCTCATTAAGAGTCTTAATAGCCTTAGCCGCCCGTTTAGAGTTAGGCATAGATCAAATGGACGTTAAAACGGCATTTTTGAATGGAGACTTAAATGAAATCGTCTATATGAAGCAACCAGAGGGGTTCGAGGTAAAGGGCAAGGAGAATTATGTCTGTCTTCTAAAAAAATCTTTGTATGGACTGAAACAAGCGCCACGAGCGTGGAACGCAAAGCTTCACTCTGAACTTATAAGACTGAAGTTCAGAAGATCTGAAAATGAGCCATGCGTTTACACCCGGTCACAGAATGGAAACATAATGATTATTGCTGTGTATGTAGATGACATTTTGATATTTTGGAACAATAAGCAAGAGATGTTCAAATTCAAAGAAGAGTTGAAGTCTAGATTTGATATGAAAGATCTCGGCAAAGCTGAGTTAATGCTGGGAATTAATATTGTTCAAGATGTCAACAAAATTAAACTGCATCAGGAGAAGTATATTGATGGACTCCTGAAGGCATTTAATATGGAAGACTGCAAACCAGTAGTTACACCAGCAGTACCCGGTCAACGGCTAGAGAAGCCTACACATGGAAGGAGACCAGATGAGAGAATTCCATATCGAGCACTGATAGGTTCGCTCATGTATGTAGCAGTATGTACAAGGCCTGACATTGCTCATGTGGTTAATTATCTTAGCCAGTTCAATGAATGCTATGAGGAACAACATTGGATTGTAGCAAAGCGAATCCTCCGTTACCTGAAAGGAAGCAAGACGCTTGGGTTGACATACAACAAACAAAAATACCCAGAAGTTGTTGTTGGTTACGCGGATGCCGATTATGCAGGAGACGCTGATCGACGTTCATATTCAGGTTCCGTGTTCCTTATTCAAGGAGGTGCAGTTTCTTGGCAAAGCACGAAACAACGAACGGTGGCTATGAGCACAGCCGAAGCAGAATACGTGTCGCTATCAGAAGCTGCAAAAGAAGCTGTCTTTCTCAAAAGGCTGATTGCAGAGATGACTGGTAAACAGGAAGAAACAATTCGGATTTTCTCAGACAGCCAGTCAGCAATTGCTATAGCCAATAATCCTGTACATCACCAACGTACAAAACATGTTGATGTGAGATATCATTTTATACGCAATGCTGTTGAGTCGGGAGCTATAAAATTGGAGTATCGGGAAACAGATAAGATGGTAGCAGATGCTCTGACCAAGGCTCTCCCCAGAGGCAAGTATGAGTGGTGTGTGAATGGTATGGGATTGCGTGTATAAAGTAAAGATGTGTGTGTACATATCATATGCATGAGATTAAGGAGGAGTGTTAGAGCAAGAGTATTGCGACCTTTTTTTAATCTCTATGCATTTTATGATAGTATTTTGAATTTTCTTTTTTTTTGAGTTGACAAGAGAACGTCAAGTAATAAATATGTGTTCTGCCAAGTGTGTTTTTACTAATATCCTATAATATATCTTTATGAATTTTTCTTCCAAGAGCTACTCTGTGAAGGAGTGTACCTACGTAGTATCACACTCCTTCAATACTTAAATTCATTTTATTTATATTATTGTTTAATTTGTTGGTCACCTGCGGGTGAAGACCTCCTTCTGTGTTTTTCATTCGTCCCTGTCATATAAAACCTTCTGTAAATCATAATGAACCAAAAAACTATTCGTCCAATATAGGTTTTAAAAATAATAAAATTCACCTATCTTTTTTGTTTTCAGATACCAAATAGTTACGTTTATATGTAAAGTTACGGAGTAGGTACATGGTGCACAAAAAGTGTGTGGTGTTTAGGTATCTTTTATATACTTCATGTTAAATATGTACTTGCTCAAAATTTGATGTCTATCTTGGCCTAACTAATTAACCTAGGCCACACCATTTGTGTTCATACATGTTGCGAGTATGTCGGCTAATGGCACAGCATGGTTTAGTAGCAAGTTGAGTGCCGATCATATTAACTACTAATTACCTAGATCTAAAGAGAAGCCATCAATTTGTGATAGACCGCCTACTTTGGATAAATGATTACTTATTGGAAAATCAACCTTAAAACTTTTTTAAAGTTACATTAACATTAATAATGGGTAGTGCGCCGCCATCAAGTTTGTTGTTTAAATCTTTCCAAGCTTAGCACTTATTACAAACTTCGTTTAAATAATGAAGACACTTCCTACTGTCCTAGCTGCCCTCAACATTTCAATTAGATACTTAGATACAAGTCTCTGGCTTGAGGCCCTTAAACTGCCCCTTGGGTTTACATGAAAATGAAAAAGAATAAGATCTATCTAGACAAAGACAGATTATTATATTTTACTCAGTTTTTGGCCTTTTATTAAAAAAGGGGCTTAACTTTTTTTGTGTAGTACATATGTAGGTGTAACAAATATACTAAGATTTGAATGAACTGTTTTAATTTTCAGAGCGACAATGTATGCGACATCGACCGCGTCTACGACGACGTCGGGTTCAGGTCGCGCGGTTGGCGCAGTGGCTGGCGATCGGCGCGTGCGCGCTGTGCGGCTGGTGCGCCCGCGCAGAGCTGCCCCAGCCTTCGGATTTGCGATTAGAGGCGGCAAAGAACACGCAACCGGCTTCTTCATATCCAAAGTTGACTTTAACTCTGAAGCACATGTTCAAGGATTGAAGGTCAGTTAAGCTTTTAAGTTTTTTGTGGTATACTGGACATACCAGCAGATACTATGTGCAATTAATTGATGATATAATATATTTGACATAGCAACTAGAGTTTATTTGCGGAAGGTTCTGAAATTAAAGTTAGGGTAAGGTCTCGTTAATATCTTGAATGAATGCTTCCTATGCGTGTTGGCTGAAAATATATTTTGACTGAAGTTAGACAGTTAGGCATGTTTCACTAATAAACTTAAATTATTTTATGATTAGTTTTATTTCCGTCGGATAACCGGTGAACATCGAGCGTTCTCAATTTATACTGCTCTCTACAGGAACATGGTAATTCCATCCTGAGAGTTATCGACATATTTTATAGTCGTCGTGAATAATGCTTCACATTGGATGTGTGCGGTTGCGTCTGTATACACTTCATGCTTAAAGTAAAAGTGGCGTAACCTATGGGAGCTACGTTCAGGGCTCACGTTTGGTATTTATTGTTCTACTGAGCTAGTGTTGCTACGTATATTCTTTCATGGGCAAAATTGCAGGTAAAACACGTAATTAGACTCCTAGGCAACTTATTTCGAAAACATGATTCCATTTAATTATATGGCAAACTAAAATATCATCCTCGGCAACTGAGACTTATGTAATAAAATTATTTAGTTATGGCATTTGCAGTAGTGAGTGCCTAGCTCTATAATAAAGCTTGTTACCCGCAAATAACCGAATAACCGCAGTAACGCGGAATGCCACAATGATCAATACGTGGAAACATTGAAACATTGTGTCAGAGGAGTTCTTGTGCTAAGTATGTATTATATGAGTTCTTTTGTCTATTAGGCAATATATTATTTCATTGTCTCGTGTGTTCCTTTCGTTCTTACATGAGCAAAGGGAAGATTTAATCTCTATTGACACTTTTTGTAGCTGTTACCTATAACATGTTCTCACGGTGGCCGAGTGTCCCAGCGGCTGCGTGCGACTCTGCTCACAATTAAACCAGCGAGCTGCTGGCTTCTGTGCAATTACCCACATCCGAGGCTGAACTACTGTCGCAACACGCATTCTATTCTTTCCGAGCGTTCACGTAACAACTGTTGCTATCTTTTGGCACAATTTTATCTCATGCGAGACCATTTGCCATGATGATCACCTCGTTGTCTCATACATGTGGGTCAAACACCTCATTGCTTTGTTGTCGTGAGCCCCACTTGATTCGTTGGTCAACAGGTGACGCAGCAAATTACATGGCGTTATTGTATTGAATCAAAGGCATTATAGACTTAAAAACCGTTTGTGATAGTTGTTTAAAATCGATTCTCCTTTTAGCATGCTTTGTTTCAACTTAGGAATTTGAATGTCCGTTCTAGATTATAAGAAACATTAATTGTTGTCAATTACGAAGGTTTGTGGACAAATATTGACTAAGTACGTACCTGGTACCTAGAATTTGGAGTGCGGAAACAACTAATTAGATAACAGCAGCTGTAGCTAACGACCTGCAACAGCCAGTCGAGTTTGTAAACATATTATTTGGAACAAAAACAGCTAGCGCTACTATCAAAATACAAGTAACATTTCATCCGGATCCAGAATTCGGGTTTGAACACTGTCATGCGTTTAGTTTTGTTATTGAGGAAAATTACAATCATTATATGATCATTCAAATCAAAATCGGTAGTTAATAAACAATAATTATTAGATCAGGTACAACAATGTACTTACTCAATTAATCCTTCATCAAATTTGAGGTTTAACAGAACAGTTGAAGGCCGTACAAAATTTAAAAGTACTGCAGGATGTTATATCATTTGCACGCAATACTTAATATGATATCATATTATATAACTGTTTATTATTTAAAATACATATCTTTATTTCATCTTTAACCAATTACAATGCAAAATAATACCAGTCAACATATACATATGCATTTATGATTTCAACAGCTTCCTTTGAACGCCAATGCTTTATGAAGATTAACGGTCGTAAAAGTTTAAATACAAAAGGAAACGCATTTAATCACATAAAACGAACGTGATGATTAGAATCATTATTTGAAAACAGCAAATATACAAGCAATAGACAAATACTTAGCTCACAGACACAAATAAATCCTACTTTCTACAAAAAATGACATGAGTAAAGAATCTTTTGATGTTTAGTCGGCGTCTCGGCATAATTAAACAGTTAAACAAGAATGCACATGTTATTTGGCGGCGCGGCGTTACAAAACTTTTCACACGATTACTTCCTTCACAAAGAAGTTACGAAAAATTCATGTACATCCGCCATTATTAAAATAACACAATGAGGTGTTTTGAGAAATTACTCAGATTCACAAACTCTGAGGTTTTTGATCGACTGTGCCTGAACTCTAGACGTTGATGTCATTGACTTGTGCTAAACCCGCTAAAGGCTGATACAACATGAGCAACAGAGCATCGGTAGACAGCCGGCAAGTCAACAAAACTTGTCAATACAAACTAATGGCGCACACTCACTATTGACTATCTAATTCATACATTTCTATTTTTCCTTGAAAAACTGGTTGATTTATAATGCCTTTTTAAATGTAAATAACTGCAATTATTTTCTCAACTTACGAGTGAATGCTCTGAAATCGCTACTGTACACATGACAGGATATGAAACCTAACAATTTATAATATAAGTATTACATATTTAAACATTTCCAATAGTTTCGTATATCCATGGCATGTTAAGTACGGGAAGGCAGCAAATCGATGCAATTATGTGACAATTTGTAAATAGTCCGTGTTCCCATGAGGCAGGCTGTGTATGGTTGTACATGTCCAGTGCGTGAGTCACTCAATTACTGAGTATGGCGACTTTCTACCGCTTTCCGTTCGCGTGCGCCTCTTCGGCTTCTTGTATAACATTTGCTAAAATAGAAAAGTGCTAATGTTGTCCTTCAGAGAACACACATGCATGGTCAGCAATCTGTATCTTAAATTTCAAACGTTTTAATTCAAGTGAATGGATGTCGACGTCGTCGATAGTCAATAGGATGTCTAAATAATCCAGAACAAAAAGTATCAGGAAATAACTATTGCAATTCGTATGTTTCTAACTCGCCAAATTGCGAAACAATATCATTTTTTCGCGATAAAAGGTACTTATAATATTGTATCATCAAGGCCACACTGCATTATAAAAAGTAAATAGAGTACTTAGCATAGCAGCTGTATTGAAAATATATTGATGCAATGACTCACTTGATTACTTTTCACGTCGCCAGTGCCTACTTCAGACTGTTGACAGACAATGTGACGTCATATGTTATAGCTGTTGTAGTGCACACTTGTTTTAGTTGGACAGTCAGCTTGCACTATTGTCATTCAGTTAAAGGCGGTACATTTCATTTGTAAAATAAAATCTTTTAGATAAACACACATAAGTTTTCTACCGTAAGTCTATCCAAAATAAAACATATCAATCAAAGCCATTCCAAAAAGAAAGTGAATTCATTGGGAGGGCCGGGCGTCGTTGAGTCTGGCGTTCTTTTACGTCACTGGCAAAAAAGACAACTTGTATGTAACGAAAGTCTGATCGAAAGTTGTCCGATATGTGGGGCACAGTCCGACCTTTCCGGCTTCTTTGCGCTCGCCAACTACGTGATGAAACTGACGAAAGTTCTACCCTATGCCGATCTGATGATGGACGATGAAGTGTCGGCTACAGTGAAATGCAATACCGCAACAGCTGTTAAGGTGAACGTACGAAACACGCGATAGAACTCAACAAAAAACACATGAAATGATATTCTTATGATAAATGATCATTTGATCGTATACTGATTGTAATAAATTAAGTATGATACGACGATATTACTTCGGATTAATAGCTATTAGTATTATGATCACAATAAAAATAATTTACGAAGTAAAAGTTCTTACTTTAACCACTGTGATTAATATCCAATCTCATATTTTACGATCTCATCGGTTAAAATATAAAATAATGATATTATTCTTTTAAGACACGATTCCGAGTCCATTCCATTCACTGGGTTTTTAAAAGACTTTCTTAAAAGTAATATCGTCCGTAATCCCTTAGAACAACTGGCGGTCGAGAAAAGTAGGCCACGGGCCACTGCTTCTGTCCCTGAGTTGTGAGCCGAACTTTACATAACAACTAACACTAAACGCTTAGAAACTCGAAACTGCGAATAATTCATTATGCGGTTCTCTTATATCTTTTTCGACTGATGCCTAAGGATAGGAGTATAAGATAAATAAAACGAAAAGAACTTCGTTTAATCGTACTGTTTACCTTATATTTGACTAGCTACTCGCGCGCGGTTTCACCCGCTGCACGACTCTATTTAATCGTAGCGTGATGTTTTATAGCCTATAGCACTCAGGAACATTGTAGATATCTATCAGTGAAAGAATTTTGGATATCCGACCAGTGGTTCCGAAGATTACCCCCTACAAATGGTATGTTTGTAAGTTTGAATAACTCACAAAGATACCTCTTTAGAATATTAGTATAGATGACACAAATTTTGAATATAATGTGGGATTCCACTATGCTTAAGTTCTTAAGTCAATGACAATTCAGCAACAATGCCCAAACCAATAGAAGGTAAAAGTGTTCTTTCTGGACAAACATTACAAGTAGGGCAAGACCTTTTGCCCTTCTTTTCTTTTGTACAAATTGTGAGTGATTTTGAGCAGGTGTTCAAACTACACAATGCTCACATTGAATGAAGCTGCGTTCAGTCAATAACATCAATTCATACTATGCGTATGATTGTTTAAAAGTCAATGAAATATTAATTGTTTTTTAATAATCGACAACAATTGATGAATTGGGCAATTTTTTTATTTGTTTTTGAGAATCTGACGGCTAAGTCTAAGACGACCTTGCCAAAAATTTGCCTTACCATGGGTACTATTGCTCATCAACTAATTCACAGAACAATATGATGTTATGGGTAATTAATGCCATTATTTTAGACCTTGTCGCTGGTAAGCGTTATCATGATTCTTTTATCTTGTTGTTGCGTCAAGTTACTATGGCTGCTACCGTTCTTTGGCATGGCGCAACGCTACTTGAAAGCAATAACTACATGTGCCTAGTCCATTGTTGTTTCAACACCTGAGAAATTATTTACGAACCTGCTACAATTTTCTCGGCATTGCAAATTATGTTTTCACGATTCATGTCATGTTGTTACCCTACCTACCTAGTTGTGAGTCAAACGCGTCTAGCGATTTAGTTAACTCAATATAAGTTACTTCAAATATATTATCCTTATGTAGGAAATCTAAGGAGTGGGTTCAACAAGCCGTGGTCTAATTTATGTATATTAAAGACTTCTTTTATGCTATAACCAGATTTTAATTGGTTTGAAATCAAAATAATTCGGTATTCAATCGAGGAAAGGATATTTACTTATTTTGGCATCATGATGATGATTTTAACAAACATGATCGGCGGTGGCGATGGACGGTAGGTACAGTGAATATTCGAGTATGAATGGAGCATGAGGATAAGATAATGAGCCAGAACTATGAGACGTTTAAGACGCTTTCCCATTCGGCATGACTTGCTAAACTGTTCAACTACCAATGTATATCCATATGTATGTCAAACCGGACTGCTTAATTTTCAAACATGTGTGAAATATTGGTAAAAGTAGTAAAATGAGAAGAACATTTTGACAAACTATAAAGACTAACATCTTTATTATTATTTGCATACCTAGGTGCTAAGGAAATGCAGTTTTAGAATAATGAATGGCGTTTTGTTCGGAGCCTTTCTTAGCGTTGGCATTGTGTCATACACTGGCTTAAGCTCGTCTGAAAGTGCAAAAACAATAACGTACTAGTTATACGTACCTGCTAATAGACAGGGAAACTTTCCCTAGTAATAGTAAAATTAAAAAAGGAATGGCAATTTAGTAGTGCCTAATTTTCTTGTTTTTAGACTTTTAATGAACTTATTCATAAAAAATTATAGCGTAGCAACAATAATCGCTAGGCAACTGTTAAATAAATACGAGGTCTAATTATTGAGGAGACGATTCGCCGTTTTTAGGTTGTTTTATACGCATCAATAGGCAAGGTAATCTGTAACCTAAGACTACCTAAAACTTTTGGGAAAAACTCACAAAGACTTGATCAATTTCCTGTTATTTTTTTCTTTCCTACTAAGTTGAAAGTGCCAAAATAGTTACTACTAGCTTCCGCCTGCCGCTTCGCACGCGTATAAGCAATTTATTCCGGGATTTTAAAGACTGCAGCATTAAAAGCGATAGCTCGACTAAAATACGCAAATCAATCAATTAATTCATAGTGTAGTCTATATACTCAGGAACATTGTAGCTATCTATCAGTGAATTGAGTGGTGGAAAAATGAAAAGTGTCATTTTTGGAAATATGAACACAGGTTTCAAATATTACCTTCAATGCTGCTCAATATGCTTTCAATATTGAGTGGTAGTTTCTCTTAATAACTGCTAAAGATTAGACACTCTAAAATTTGTAATACGCGTATCAAATTTAACACGTTAAACGCCATGAGGGTCACCGGTGACCTCCGTTAGCGGAGGACTTTTCTTCAACAGTATCTGTCGGCAGTCAAAGGCTTAATATTCTGAGTGTGCTTTACATTATAGCAGTCGAAACGTTACAGAGTTCAGTCCTCTGAATGGTTAATTAACTTGGCGTAGACCAATCAGAGCGTCGGACGTCATAAACAACTCGTGGTGGCCTGCTGGCCTGTAAGATGCTTCGTGGCGAATCCAACCAGTGGTCCCAAAGTTTACCTCCTACATACAAACTTACAAATTTTACCTCTTTATAATATTAGTATAGATATAGATAAATAATAAACGTTTCGATCGCATTAACGTAAAGCCGAAACGATGTTTTTTAAACGTTCTATTTGAAATAAATATTGTTAAATAAAGCCCTCATTATTACGTTTACAGGTGGGAGATCAGCTAGTGAGCGTGAATGGCTTCCGAGTGGACGATGCGGTGCACGGCGAGCTGGTGCACTACCTCGCTGCACAGTCACGACTCAAGATCAAAGTTAGACGTGAGTATCTACATCTATACCTAAGCATTCTACGGGTCCAATGTCCACTCAAACTTATTTAAAGTGTTGTATTATCAAGACTTTTTAAAAATAATACCCGCAAAATGTGTTGCTAAGCGCAAAACTTCCTAACGGCTTGTTACTGTTGTCATGACTAAGTTTCTTGGTTTAAAAAAAAAAACGATAAATTCACCGGATGAATCGGAGGTGTAAGTAAGTTGCTGGGTTGCGAACTTACAACAAAATATAGGTGAATCAACGTGAAGTCCAGATGATGCCCTTGTGACATTTTATTTTAATTCAAGACATTATTTTGATGCCTCAATAATCAAATCAGTGGTTTTACAATAAATGTTATTTAAATCTGTGCTAACAATATCAAATAATTCAATCATTGTGTTTATGTAACTGAGATAAGATAAGAATTTATATCAGTAGGACGGACAGCATCCAACCTCGAGTTTATACGTAATCATGCAACATCAATTCACCTGCCAGATGAGACGATTATTTTTAAGATCTAATATTTTATTTTAATGTAGACGTTTGTGGGAAATATGTATATGAACATGTAATATAAAAAGAAATGGTATGATATAATACTATCAACAGTCCCGCGATGATCAATGTATTTATTATGCATGCGAAATTCGAACATATTAGGTATGTAAATTTTAATAAAACTCGAGGATCTAATCGTTTTATGACATAACACTAATAAATTATTTAAAGGCTGTGATTGAACTTTTTAGTTGATTAACGAATAAATTAGCATGTTAAAAGCGTTTTCTATACCAATGCTATAATAATAATTGAAGTTATTACGCAACTAAACGTCGTAGTTTAGTATGACGCTTCAATACGTAGGCGAATCGTCTGACAATGTTATAGTGAATAAAATTATGATAATTAATCAAATCGTATGAGACTCAACCGGTAATAGAAGCCGCCGAGATTTTATAACTGTCGTGAAAGCGCGTGGGCGTGTGCCTATGAACATTGTCTATTAGGTAGTGTTGCGTAAAACGAATTATGACAGATGAAATGAGGCCCGGTGCCCAGTGATTGTTCAGAATTCCGAAACATTTCATGAATGCCCAGCTCGGCTACAGTCTTGCAACATATCTATGACAATAACAACACTAGCAAACTAAAATATTTCCTTAGGTTTTTTTAATCGATTCTTGTAAATCCCTTACACAATTCTCGCGCGAAAGTAGCACCATGTCCACATTGTACATTTCGTCATGTCATTATGTTAAGAGGTATTTTCACTTTTATTTATTTTTGTTACAGATGTGGGGATGTTACCTGTCAAAGAGTAAGTACGCTTACTTTGTTGTGAACGTTAAGTTGTGTACATAGGTGTGCGCATTTGTTTGATCACGTTTTCCGCATTTCAGCAAGGCGCATGAGCCATTGTCATGGCAGTTCGTGTCGGAGCGAGCGTCGTTGAGTTCCGACGTGTCATCCTCACCGACCCTGTGTCACGACAACGAGAGACTGACGGACATGAGGCTGTCGATACTCGTGCCCCCCAGAGCTAAGCTTGGCTGCGGGTCAGTACTCTTTTTGCTAATAATAAGTTGGAGGCTTTACATTCATACAAGCCACAGCTAGACAGATTAGATTTATGACATTTGGTTTTATGGCGTTCTCCCATAACTTAGATTCCAAACTAAGTACACTGTTTTCTGATGATCCAACCACTCTTCGTCCATGAATATTCCGTAAGGGGTTCTGTCTTGGGTGTTGGACCATTTATGTTATTTTTTATAAACAGAACGATTTCTTCGTGATCGCGACAGGATATCAGTAATAACTGTAATAAGATTACGTCTGGATTTTTAAATGTATAATGGTTGTTAAGGGAGAAAACGTTCAATCAGCGTACGTAGCACTAGTCGTGCGAGTTTAGAAGTAACGCCTTCTGGGACGTGGTAGGCATTTGAAAGACTATCTAATTATACCAGTACTTATAGCTGATCATACCTTCAAACGTTCAATTATGGTTTGAGGACATTTACATCTCTTGTATATAATAATTAGTAACTGTTTGTTAGTCTCGCTAAAACTCAAGAATGGCTGGTCCGATTTGACTAATTGTGGTCTGCGATCAGTTAGTTAATAATAAAAACTTTTTCTTTCAGAATCTGCAAAGGTCCGGAGTGGAAGCCGGGTATTTTTGTGCAGTTCGTGCGGGAAGGCGGCATCGCGCGGGAGGCGGGCCTCCGACCGGGCGATCAGATCTTATCATGTAACGCCCTGGATTTCTCCAACGTTTCCTTCAACGAGGTGAATATCCTTCGATGGTTTTTGAGGTCAATTATTACCATAAGCTTTAAGAATTCATATATAGCCTTGTATTTCTTTTTTTTATTGGTGTCTTTTAAAAATCTAATTGATGGTGTTGGTCTCCCTGAACTTGTCGATAGTCATTTGAAGCAGGTTGGCATCTTTTTGCCTTCTGTTTGAGATTCATAAATAGAAACTTGTAAGACAAAGTTTCAATACTAAGAGGATTAAGTTCATCTCCTGTGTAGCTTTCTATGTCATCATTATCTCATTGATTTTGATATCGGTTTATGGAACGAAGGGGTCACGTAATCGATTCCATTTTTTTCATATATATTTTTTTTCGATCTTTATATTCTTTAACCATACATTTTCCATAGAAGTATTTTGATTCAAATGGTCATTCAGGTGAAAATTTCATCCCCATCATATAGATAGCTACTAGCAGTCAATTAATTTTTACTTTAATTAATTGATTTTCCGGAAACTGTCTGCCTAGCAGAGCAAAACTTTGGAATTATCTTTTGGCGGCGGTATTTCTATCCTTTTTCCTTTTTAAAAGTTCGGCAACGCCCCTGAGAGTCCTCTGATGTTGCAGGTGTCCACGGGCAGCTCTGGTCACTTAAATAAAATGGCTTGTAATTTACTACTTTTTGCTAACGTACTTTATTCTGTTCTTCAAAATTTCGGCAACCAGAGATGAGCTTCTGAATTTTAATGTATTAATATATCAGAATTATATATATTATATTATAAATTTATTTATAATTAAACGTAAATTAAGTAGTTAATCAATAGGTTATTTTTCTTTTTAAACTTTGCTCCGCACTGCTATTTTCTCCTGTGTCTGGGTGCGTTTAAAACATACAATTTCACATACACATCACACCCAGACCCGGAACAACACTTTGTGGATCACACAGAGATTTGTTTCGTACGAGAATCGAACCCGCGACGTGCCGTCTAATACTAGTATCTTAAAATCAGTTCTAGGATTTATAGTTATTTCGTCATTCTTCTTGTAATGCTGACTGATTTATTGCTTTTTATTGTATCAAAGTTTACCTACTCATGTAGGTACTTATCAATACGGCCATAATTGTCATCGTGATTAATCGATATTTATACGAAGACTGTGATTAATAAGGGCAATTTCTATTCATGGTTGTCCAAAAATAATTTTCAACAATCAGTCTGTTTTTTTTTTCTTAGAATATGACGTCCAGAATTTACTTACCTTACCTATTATTATTTGTATTATTACCTATTATTAGTACCTACCTATTATTTGTTAACTTAGACCTAGATTAAAGTAAAAATATAAATATTCGTTTTAAGATATAAGTTTTAATTAAATATTACGGAATATACTTACTGCTAGAGATTACCTACCCATATTACTGAATAGGTACTTTTATTAGTTTCTTTTCTACTCGTAAGGGTGTTGTTCCAATGCATTTCTTTTACGTATTTCTAACTATAAATATTTTCTTCTACACAGGCAATATCAGCTATGAAAGCGACGGGTCGCCTAGAGCTGGTTATTCGAGAAGGTGCGGGTACAGACCTAGTATCTCCAGAGAGCTCTGGTTACAACAGTTCTGCATCATCAGCTGCAGGAGAGCGTAGCCCTGCGCCTCTAGTACCGCACGTACCTTTAGCCCCGCCTGCAGCATTGCGCAGGCGCCTCGCTAGCGTCGCTGAAGAGGCTGCCGACCGCGCTGATAGGTAACAATGAGTATTCTTATATTTTATAATAGTTAATTTAGTTTGATGCAACAATCAGGAGCATCGAACGAATTGCAAGAATCTTAAACACAGTTGGACAAAAGGCAAAAGCCTGATGTTTTTATTATGTCTTAAGGCAAAAGCCTGATGTTTTTATTAAGACTAATAATTTATTTCAATTACAACAAAATAAAAAACAAATTTTATATCACAATATTAAAACCAACAAATTGTTTACCGTTTAGAAAAGCCGTATTGTTGACTCGACGTAATTTTTTGTCAGGCACTTTCATTATCTCTCACACTCAATGTCAGTTTTGAAAAATCTGTAAGGAAATTGGTACTAATATTTGGTTTCGGTTTCAGATTAACCATGAATAGACTAAAGAGAAGAACATGGGACAGTCTAGATTTTGAATGGAAGAACGGTGACATCCATAACTTCGATGCGGACGCCCCTTCGGACATAGAACCTGACTATGACAGTCCTAGCATACCAAACAATCCTCATACGTACGAAAATAAAAGTAATCAACGAAGCAAAACCAAGAAAGAATACATAACTAGCCCATCTAATAGGACAATAATTAATTTAACTGAAGACGGGGCTATGATACAGTGCAGTTACGATAATCAGTCGCCTAGAAAAAATGCTTTTACGGCTAACCATACGAATCGAGACAACGATAAAAAAACTATAGTCGTGGAAGTGCACCACACAAGCACAACGACTTGTGGGAAAAACGCTTGTAACTACCCACCACCTTTGAAAAACGATTGTAATTTGGATTCAGTAAGTTTGTCTAGTTCAGCTACGTTATCAAGTGCCATTGCGGAAGAGATACAGCGACGTAAGATGGTAAGTAGTCTTGAAAGGTACCTAAACATGCAAGGTGAGACTGATAAAATTAAGATCGTGCCTTAAAGGATCATCTGGTTATTTACACTTTCTTTTCGCGGAATTTAAAGATTATATCGAAAGTTGAGGACTGATAATGTCAGGTGTCATTTGTAGATTAGGACTCGTGTACATGTTGTAATCTTTTTACGTAGTGACGTATTAAATGGGCTTTATGAAACTACGCAACTAATTTTGTATCTGCATTCTTTTAGGAGGTTCTAACGGATGGTTTAGGGTTACAATATATCTAAATAAATTTAATGAAAAGCTGTAATATTTAGATACGTAACGTTTTTATCAAGTCACAGAGAGATCTCATAGTCACAAGATTTTTCTCGTTACTAGGAAGATCACCAGAGAGCGACAATGAAAAGAAGGGTTGTTATTTAGGGTGACAGGTAATTAGTGACCCATATGTAAATATTTGAATGTACTACAAATTACTGGTGGCCTCGCCGTTATCAACTGGTAGGGCGATGCTCCGCGGGCGCGCGACTTTTGAACATTTACAAAAAAGTTACTTTGGACAAGTTATTTGTTATCATGAGTACAATCATGTGATTAAATATCGGTCACTAATTACCAGTCAACCCACCTTAGAAACAGAGTACCTATAAGAGAAGGTATAACTCTAAACCACCCTATTAATCACAATTAGAAAATACTAATCAAAACATTATTTCTCTAGAATAAAAAGAAAACCAATTCAGAGTCAAACATACCACCACCACCGCCAGCAAAAAAGCCACCTCCACCAAAGCCAACGGATGAGAAGAAGAAACAGCATGATGCATTAATGGACGAATTTAAAAAAGTGCACAGGAAAATGTTTGCTAGCATGGACAACGGTGAAAAAACCACAGACACACAAAGTCATAACGAAGCAGAGCCATTGGTAAGTCTGACCGCATTATTAATAGTCTTTTTTATGAAGCAACGGAAACTATGAAAAAAAGAATACGTCCACTTATCTAATATTGGTAATTGGTAATTATGAATGACGAAAGTGTAATATTAATTAGGTAGATAGCAATGCGTAGGTATTGTTAACGATGTTGCACGATTTCGATTCAAAGAATTTATTGTTTTAGTTCGGAGTTCCCATTTTGATAGATATGTATCGTAAATTATCGTAAACGAAGGTACATCAAATATTTGGCTGACACGAGGAATGTTGTCTACATTATCTATTAAATCTTGCTAAATTTTCCTTATGTTTTTTTTTCTTGATAACATTTTGTACATTATTTTAGAATGTTATTTCTTTAATTATTTTATCAGCTCAAAGTCTATGTGTTTCTAACATTTCAATTCTGTTTTAGATGATAATAGGTATGATAGTCATTTAATGCCCGGTTCCTATATTTAACGAATCGTCGTTGTATACGCATTACGACCAAATGACATTACGAATAGTTATCTTGACCGTCTACTGACGGTTAAAATATTTATAGGAACACCACAGACACCATAGATCTCCATACAATTCGCTTACCGACATCCGTTAGTTGCAAACCGTCAGTAAGTTGCACGACGAGACGTTTGTTATAGGAACGGTTTTAGCTTACGAGTCGTATATAAAACTACTATTCGTAACTAAAACGGATCGTTTCTCAATTATAGGAACCGGGCATAACTCTACTTGGTAGGTAATTAAAGCGAAAGTTATCGCGATCCGCACCCATTATAGGATTACTCTTTTAATTTACTAGTTAAGTCTTAGAGCATATGTTTAGTTTGCTTGTTGAAACTAAAACTTATCAACCAGAAAAACAAGAACAAAAAATAACAATATGTACCCATGTTATCAATTCATTTCATCACATATGACGTCTTTTCCGTTATCGATTCATTTTATATTCATCAACTTCGTCACATATGACGTCTTTTCCTTTAAAGATCTGATGTAAGATGAAATCCCCGATGCCAATAAGCCCAGAATTGTCGTAAGGAAAGGTCGTAAATGGACTTTAATTATCCTCAAGCTAAATAAAATATTTCGTGGTCTGACAGGTATTTAAATTAAGTACCAAATTAAAGAAATGATTCAATTTGCCTAAATATTAGTCTATGGTAGACACATTGTCTCACACAAGTCTCAGGTTTAATATATGCTAGGCTGCAACTGTTACTTGGATTGAGTCTTAAATAAGGGTAATACAATCACCATTACAACGAATAGTTGTTAAAGATGTATTCATCAAATCATCACATTCACGGCCGCCACATAAGAGGAGAAACTTCTATCTGACATTAAAGTAGTACTCGACTCTTACTTCATAACAAATGGTAGACGACCTCCTTGCACTGTATATGTTATTTTTATGGAGTAACTGAAAGCCGTATTCGACAGGACGTCGGTTACGACTACCTATAAAACTTGTTACTTATCCCAGCATGTTATCACTCGATTTATAGGTACCTGTGAACGGTGAATAAAGAATAAGTATCTATTACTTTCTAATATTATTATAACAGTGTATACATAGAACTCACAATAAAAGACATCGCACGTTCGTCGGCACGTTCATACTCATTTTATTGTGATTTTAATTGACAATCATATTCAAACTGACTGCTAATCTTAGAAACGAACATTTTTTTATAACTGTCGACAATATTCTACTGTTGTTGTTGTAATAGCGAATAGATAGCTTTCGCGATCTTCATTTTTTATTAGATTTTTCTATCGTAAAACGCGTTTATCTATAGATAGAATAGAAGTTACGTTCACCAAGCAATTAAAAAGAAGATTACCTAAAGGGAAATATAGATGCTGTAAAATTATAGTACTAAAACCAGTTTGTCGAGACCATCCTCATACGAGTTGTTGTCATTTTATTCTTATTTCGATACTCGAGTATAGTTTTTAACGATCGAACTCGTGATCGTACGCATGTGAATTGTGAATATGCTTGACATTCAAATGTAAATAGGTCTAGACGTGTTTCGTGTTACGTGTTTTGCTTTATGATTGTTTTTGAACACCGATGGCTATTCAAATGCACTTTATTCTTGCACTAGCTTTCTCTTGTGTCTTCGCCCGCGTTGAGCTCTGAACATTTTATTCGAACAGCAAAATCTATAAATGACTTCTTCCATGGGGCTAGAGGGAGTGTCAGACTGTTACTGACTAAGGCCACCCCGTTCCTTCTCTTGCTTTGGGCCAGTCGGCCTTGCAAACTTAACTTAGGCTGGACATTGACTCTAAGGTCCTCGCTTGGTACTTGACACGTGGGGCGTCGTACGTACATTTTTCCCCGTCATTAGCCGCGCAACCCCAAACTTACGAGCGAATATATTACGACAAATGAGGCCCTAACTTTCAGTGAATACCAGTGATGAAACGGTTTTCCGAACTGGTTTAGTAGTTTGGTTTTATAGTCTATTAAATACAAAGAAACAAAATCAATCAAATCTTTACATTTACATCTTAGATATTTTAAAACACCGGATAGGTATTCAGGCATTTAGCCCGCATAAATGTCTATTTACGTGAGTTAGCCCTGACTACTTATTCGTCATTCACGCTTCACTGCCTCATTAAGTCCCAGGAAGATATAAAATAAAAACTTACACTTAATTAACTTATATGCATAGTTTAAATTTTTATTCTTAATTAAGGCATATTTTATCTTTTTAATGGAAGTTTTCTCACTATATTACTCGCGCAACTTATTCATTGTAAAGTGATCTAGGTTATGTAACAATGAGTTTCAAGACAATTGCCTTACGAAATTAATTGGGTCACTTCGACACGAATCATTTGTTACTGCATGCTTACATAACATAATGTATTTGCAAACTGAACACGATAACCAAATTCAAACTTTTTATTAAAAAACGGCTAAAATAATGATTTGGGTGATCGACATATTTATGACGTTCGGCGTTCTGATTGGCTTGCAACAAATTTACCAACCAATCAGAGGGCTAAACGCTGTAACGTTTCGACCGCGTTAATTCAAACAAAACTCACACATTACATTCTGGTCTCAATTAATTTTTGATATGGATTGTCTGTTCAAAACTTGGATCGATCCAGCAATTCGGATTATTTCGGATGAAAATAAGTGTCGACTTGGATACGCCCACAGAAAGATATAAGAGACCTCTTTTATTCTCTTTGGAGAACCTATAAAATTATTTCCAGTCAACGCTTGTAAGTAAGGAATTAACATCACTATCGTTATTATTTCTAAATCTGCACTCCATATTGAGGACATGGAAAAAGATTATTTTCAATTATCGCTCTCAATGTTCATTTTGTCGTATTCCATTCCAACTCAGATATTTATCGAACTAGTTGTGTACTCGTAGTTTAAAAATAAAATAATTAATAGTCTAGCTCCGCTCTTAAGTACCGTTATTCAATTAAGTTACTAATAAATAACTAAGTTTGTTTATAGCAACTCCGTAGTTAGTTTTAGTCACGTTACCCTTCGATCTTGATACCAATACAATAGCTTTTGTTGTGAGACCCGGGTGATCTAGAGATATTTCGTGATTATCTAATTACACGGACAATAGTTTAGTGCGGCTGTGATTAAAATCATCTCTGTTTTTCGAGACTTTCCCATAAAAGATCTATTCTTAGTTTAATGGATGTCAATTTGCACGCGATGGACACGGATATTATAGTTGAATCAATAACTAACGGTCGTCCAGTATCATTGTGAAGATCATTAAACAAAACGAAGACTACGTAACAAAACAAAAATTTTAATAGCGACTGAATAAGTATTCAAATTAGTCTTGGCTCTGTGGCCATCGTTTACCTTGCTGATTTGGTCTAATGATCGCGTCGAAGAACGAGGCAAAATCGTTTCTGCACTTATTATAAAGTAGACAAATAGCTCGCGTTGTTGCTGGTTGATATGGAGTTTTTATGGTCGGTCGTGGGCACGGCAGTGCGTGCAGCGTCCGGCCCGGCCAATGTTTCGCTAGATTTTGCTTTGCACTGATAACGGCAGTGAGTAAGCGGTCGACGAGGGCACGCGGCATCGCTGGCCGTGTGATTGCTGCTCGGTCCGGTCGGTCGCACAGTCTCGCTGCACTCCGCCGCGGCCGCACAACACACGTACCGCGACACCGGCTCGCTCATTTTTCCTACGATTTTCCACGCTTCGAGGAAAATATATGCGACCTTGGCGCGCTCTTAACTATTATTTTCGTAATTTCTATACCACATTCGAATACTAATTATATTTTTTGTAAAATGAATTTCTTAATTAGTCTCAAGTGATCATTTGTATAGTGATGTGGTGATTTGTGTAAAGACTTGTGTTTTTGTAAATCGTAACTGGAAATATGAAGAATACAAGTAAATCGAAGCCTTTGGTTATCATACAGTGCTATGAAGTAAGTTGACTATGTACCTATAAAATGTTCTTATTATTATTGGAGCGAAACAAAATAAGTATATAGGTACATGCCCACTTACCTACCGAGTTGAAGCAATGATTTAGTACCGACAACTTTGTCTATAAAATAAACGATAGTTGCCATTCTTATTACTTGTGACATACAATACAAAAATATTAGTGTTAGTTGAACTTGAATTCATTGAGTCGTATTATTCACCTTTTATTTTTCTGTTCCTACGATCATTGACGTCATGGTCGTCAAAAATATCAACAAAGTGAGAAAAACTCGTGTAGGTACACACTTCACAACATAACATATATGTACATATATTGTATATCGACCGGTGTAGTGAGGCACTCAGTGTTTTTACGACTTATCTGATTATCCACGTTTTGACTGATTGCAGGATGTCGATAACGCAACGTTTTCATTGCTGATGATATTATCTCTTCCACTAATTTCACTCATGTACCTACTTACCTCATGATTGAACAAACAAAAGAAATATTTGGTCTACATAAAATACTTTTACGTATTACATTTCAAAGTCAAACAAATGGAATGTTACGTGAAACTTGCACTTTTAACATTATTTGAGTAAAAATTACAATCATCGGATACTAAATACGTACCTATTTCTTAGGAGGAAAAACGATTTTTTATAGGTACTATTATAAGTATTATGAGAAACGAATATAAAAATATAGTAAGTTTCCTCGAATTGTCTATTAGTTCATACACTCTTATTGGCATCTAATTGCATAAAGGATGTGCAAAAAAGGATGTATAGTTTTTTAACTAAGATATTTTATTGAGGAAGGTTGGAATTTATGAAAACATAGGTATTTCCACAGCCTTACCAGCCAGCATTTACCTATAGATAATTCCATATCATTATATTAAGCATTAGATGATCTCATCGCATCGTTGTTTGGACGAGGCTTTAATGCAATAGAAGTGAAGGCTTTACTAAGAAACTATTAAATTCGAGTAATAAATGAATGCTTGCAGAACGTGGAAAATTAAGTTTAGTATCTGGGGAAAGATTAATTTGATTCAGATAAATGCAGTTTATTACATTGCACTAGTAATCGTAATCGATAAGCTTCCGTAATAAATTACCTTTGCCTTAAAATGTAAACAATATAAACATTATTGGTATGTATCGCGCATTAAAACAAAGCCCACGAGAATTGTTTTGTTGAAACATTTCTAAGATTATGTTTATATCATATTTGTTGTCGTTTTCTTTTTTTGTCACATTACGGCAAACGAGCAGACGGATTACCTGATGGTAAGCAGTCAACGTCGCCCATGGACACCCGTAACCATAGAGAATTTACGAGTGCGTTGCCGACCTTTTGGGGATTAGGGATTAGGAGATTTTAGGATTGGGGGAGGAGAAGGATTGGGCCTCCGCTAACCTCACTCACACGGCGAAATACAACGCTGTGGTTGTTTCACGCCGGTTTATTGTGAGGCCGTGGTATCACTTGTGATCTTAAGCAGGGTCGCAACAGGTGTACTAATGCAATGATACCTATACCGCGGCCCCGCGGCTCGGAGCAGTAGAAGAAACATGTGTGATTTTTATACAGTAAGTCTGACACTTAACGAATGGATGACGTTCCCCTCATTAAAAAAAATAAAATTAAAAAAATAATTGTTTAGCGCAAAGATTATACCAAGACCTCTTCCGAAGAGAAGGCCTGTAGTCCTAAACGGACGGTTTTGGGCTGTTGAAGCTGAACACGAGAAAGTCTTGCGAAATCGCTTTCCTACTAGAATTTGATGCACGTATTTATTTAATCAATTTTCCTTTATGAAGGAAAAATCTTCCGGTTCCTAATTAGATTTGGTTATCGGATTAACGCCTTATCGGTTAACGAGGCGGTGTATTAGGTGCTTTGTTTTCTGTGAATTTTATTTGATAGGATCGATCGAGTGTTGGGTTGCTATGCTCGTTTAATACAAGCTCCACTTGTGTACGTAAATGAGACATAAATGCTACAGCTTTCGAGAGCAGACTCTCTAGAGCCGTTCAATTTCTATGCGGCCGGAACTATTATTATGGTTATTTTACCCAGTACTTATTCAGGGCTTGTCTGAACCGGACTTAAGACCTAGTTATGAGTCAGAATTTCTTTATTCAGAAAGTACATATGTATTTATTAATCAAATTATATCGATTCCCTATCAATATTTAGATCTAATAGAATGCGTTTGCATATTGGATCACTTCATCACTGTTTTGCGTGATTAATATAGCTGAAATAAAGACTTTTCAACATTTTATCTACAAATAATATGCTGATAATTATGATTAACGCCACTTAATTACCTTTGGGAGTGCCGACTACGTGATTCATTTATAATAATTGATGATGATATTTGATTAAAATATTGTTGTTTACCTATGCACCGACAACCTTAACGCTAAGGTTAAAATTGTTATCGTTCAATTGGTTTTATTTATTGCAAATTACTTACAAGTGCTACTGGTACACACAACAGTTTTTGGGGAAAAGCCAATTGATATTTGGCACGACATCTTTGATAATGTTGTTGTAGTTGTGGTGCCTAGTCATGACAATATATACTGAAATACAAAACAAGATATTTTTAATCGTTTCATTCATGTCTTCTTTAAGTTTAAGTAGCACCAAATGCTCCTAATTTCTTTCTATAAATTTCTACTTGTAATTTTAGTGTGATAGGTAGGTACGTAGAAACTATTAACTATTCAGAATGATCAAACGAATAAAAAAACTTATCAATAAATTTTACGTGTAGGTATAATTATATTATGTAACATCTTAGTATAATTTATATACCTACGATGCACCAATTAAGTAACCGTGTACACCAAGATGATACCAGAAGTTTACCTTATAAATTCCTCTGTAATCAACTTAATCGTAGAAAGACAATTAAATCCGTGGAACTGGCGTGTGCGCATACAAAAGGTGTTTATGTAACACACAGCCTGTTGGCGAATATGACCACTATGTTTATGTATGTGTGTGTGTGTAGTGTGGAGCTTATCATGTGCTGTAGCCATAATGCGTTTGTAATGTAATAGCCTAAAATATAGCCTTCAGTTTTGTTCGCGTTCATCGTCGCTTCCTTTTTTTGCTGTTAGCGTCTATTTCCAGTACCTACTTCCTTTTACCTGATGGTTATAATTTGTTTGGTCAAAGTTCAATGTCAATAGCGATTAGATTAGTTCATTTGGCGTTTTCCTATTCATATTTATGTACGAGAAATTGGTGGGTTATTTTTTTGCGGTAAATAGGATGGAAATATTTTAGTTTACGTAACACGAGGTAAACATACACGTACACGTGCCTAGAATACCAATACTTTATTTTAGTATATTATGTACCACTTGTATTATGTAGCGTAGCACATAATAATTATAGGTAGTAATGGCAAATCATGTGAAAGAAAAATTGTATCCGTAAATTAAATTATACATATTGTCACTGGTAATCTTAAGTCTATTATTTACCTACTAATGTCATCATCAACATTATGTTATATTATCAGCTTGAAGACGTCCACTGCTGGACAAAGGCCTTCCGCTTAGTCCTCCACGTCGAACGACATTGTCACCTGCATCCACTGGCTCCCCGCGACTCTGACAATGTGGTCGGTCCAGCTAGCGGGGGGCCTACCCACGCTACGTTTTTTTGCTACTAAACTAAATATTTTTAATGTTGTCTATAGGATCGCCAACAGACATTGCCTTTGAGGAAGGCAGAGCCCGCACCAGAGGTGACCAACAACAACCATGTACCATCAAAGAAGGAAGCTACAGACAATCCTCCACCCCCACCACCTGTGAGTTAATAATGTACTTTATTTATATCGTAATGCCTGCCGCATTTGGCGGCTTTCACGCCTGATGGTAAGTGATAATGCGACCTACGATGGAACACGTTTACCCATAACCAACCTATTACTAATACTCGGGCCTTAAAAAGTTGCAAACCAGGGTGATCTGCCTTGTAATATCATGGATACTTACATTATAGCTTTCTTCATTCCTTCAAATTGTAAACGTTGAATCTAACTGAGAACTAGCCAGAGGACTGAGAATATAATGCTTTAATCTCGTTGGATCTTTTTTTCCTGAACCTAAATTCGACTTTATAGTCTGTCATCAGATATTCTGGTCCAGGTCATAACAACAAATGACACCAGTTTCATTGATCGATAAATTAATTTATGTGGAGATTTATGTTACTCTTGGTCTCTGAAATGTTATGTTGTTGTTTGTAACTAAACCAGTTTTGCACGTCATTAGATACTAATTGTCGGGGACTTCATTTGAGGTTGAGGTCGTCTCTGTACTTAATGATGTTGTGATGTGCCTATAATTTGTGTTGCTTGCGGATAATTTCATATTATTACTTAAGTGTGGTTGCTACGTCAAAGATATTTTGGGATTTTGATGGATTTTGACATTGAATCCCCTTGATATAGCAATACAAATTCCATGAGGTGTTTTTTTTGTGTTGTTTTATCGGTGTATTTATTTTCAGATGCCGACTACTAATGGTACGAATGGTCATCAAAACGGAATGAATGGTCATCACAATGGAACGAACGGAAACCACAAGGTCATAGAGAACCAAAAATCCATTCCTAAAACGATAACTTCTGAACTTCTATCGAATCCAAACTTTAGAAAAAATGGCACCCTCACTAGAACTCCCACTCCAGATTACATTAAGAAAACAGAGCCTCCAGCACCACAAATAAAAAGCATGAAAGACGAAAAGGCTGATATGGAGTCACTAGAATCTTATAAGTTAAAGAATCCTTCGAATGTACTGCCTAAGCCACCGTCAAACTACTTTGTCAAAGCTCCGAATGGGACAGCGACGATGAAGAAGCACGCTCGTCCTGTGTCGGTAACCATCGGCGAATATGCGTATGGAGGTGCAACTAGACGGGAACCTACAAAACTCGACTTCTTAAATGGAGTAGATAAGACAGATGGACTTCACAATGGAGACGACGAAACCTCTATATCAAATAGGCTACAATCAGAACTGGCTATGACGCTATCTAGATCGAATTTACGTAAGAAGACTGAAGCGCTGGTAAGTATCTACTATCTATTATATCATTCAGATTATCAGGATATATTAATATTACAATAATAATCATAAAAATGAAAGTATAATGGTTATGTAAATTTTACATGTTTTGATTCTATTCTATATAAATAATCTAGGTTCATTAAATGCGAAATCGTGTATGATGTTTAATATTTATTTTATTAGCTAAAGATTTATTAATAAGTACCATAGAATTACAATAAACTTAATACATTATATTCGATTCAGGTTACTTTCAGCTATTTTTTTTTACTCTTATTTTTTTACTTATCGGCACTAGATAGAAAACTACGCTATCGTAGTTTAGAAATAATACAATATGATGATTGTGTACCCATCTACCTAATCTGTGTGACTTTGTTTAGTCTTTGTTCTTATAACAGTGACTTGTTTTATAATTCATCTCATCCACGATTTTGATCACAATAACATCTTCAATCGTCTGCATATTGTGAGACCAAGTGAGCAAACTTAGTTCATATCATTATTGATGGTTTAACAAATTGTCGGTAGATACGTGTTAAATTTGACAAATTTACCAATTCGGGATAAAATAATCAATATTAATTCTTTTATTCTTCAAACTGTGACTTTCTTCTTTTTCATCACCAGCTGGATATAATTATACGGCTTTTTAGTTGAGCTATCGATATGAAAATGTACATATTTTTTCAGGATCAAGGAAATATCAATAGAAGTTCTAATGTGACTGAAGATTGTGGTTGTTCCGTAGATAAAATATTTCACGCTAGATATGGGCATAATCTTTTGCCTTTACCGCCATGTGTATCAATACCAAAAGTCTCCGTTACAAAACTTAAATCTTAGGACTCAGGCAGTGAGAGGGTTTAATTAATTTGTTTAGACGAAAGTTATTAAAAAGTGCACCATAAACAATATTCATATTGTAGATGCACGGTCACACGTTTTACACTAACAGTTTTTATAGGTGATGGTTGTTTAAATCCTTCTTTTTGTGTTCTCTCTATCCACTTACGTACTATGGAACGTTTTTCCTAATGTCTAATTATATTTTCTTTTTTTTTCAGGCCGATGCCAGCCGATGAGGATTCAACCTAATTTCTTTAAAATAAAATGTATAACGATTTTAATTTTAGACGTCTAGTGAAATATAGAACATTTGGTTAGAATTTATAATAGTCGACCAAAGTTAGTTAAGTAATTAATTTATGAATTTAAGATATACAATTCTAGTGTAGTGCCACGTCTGAAATGTAAGGACTATGTAACTACTATTAAGTATGTATTATTTTATGATAGAAATAAGGAAATTTTGTCGATATATTAGATAAATAAATAATTCATGTCTTTAGACCCGAAACCATCTGTAATAATGGGTTAAATCGATTAATGTATATCTGTGGAATGCCTAAGTCATAATAAATGCTGGTTTAAAATCTATTATCTTTGTTTATTGAGTCAACTTTCCATGTAAATTAAAGATATTCTTATTCTTAGAAGCAGAATCTCTTTGCCTGCAGTCTACTGTGATAATTTACTCCTAAAATATTCTCCGTGTGCTAACACGGATTTACTACCTATCACCATTCTTGGGTTGGGGATCGCAGCTAAAGTGGTTTGACCACAAAGTGATATCTATATTTGTAGACCTTATTTAATAAATATAATTTAATTTTAATAAGATTTGCTACTGAACACGTAGGCTAATCTATGCTAAGCCCTAATTAATCCAGCCAGTCTACTTCAGCCATTAGGTAGGTACTATAATCGACGTGTTCGTCCTAGTAATTTTATGCAAAACGGACGGACGTACATCCTTAATCATCTATACACTATGCCTAATTAAGTTATATAATTACATGAGCAGTGTTTAATCTCGAGACAAAAGATGTTAAATAAATGCAATCTATCGACATGTGCTGATAAAGAGAGGGTCTATGAGGTTGATTGTTTTTCCATAAACGTCCTTTGGAGCTTTAATGTGAACCTAAATATTGCATGCTTTTTATATATATAACATTAAAGGCAAGCAAACAGGCAGATTTTATTCAGCAGTGGACGTCCTGTGGCTGATATGATGAAACAGGCAGAAAGACGCGCACTGCTTCATGGCGAGATAAGCGGTTAGCGCCACCTATGAACACACGCAATTCCAGGGTAGTAATTACAAATAAAAAGATTAGGTAGGTCTTAGTATATTGTTAATGTTAATATGTTACTTAAAAAAAGATAGTTACAAATAAAATAAAAACAAGATAGTTAGTATACATTAAACTAACGTAGTATAGGTAATATATGTATGTAGGTACCTATCCTAGATGTAAGCAAACTTCTTGCTTATCATCAAACAATACGACCATACTGCCACTGCTGTCAAAAACTCTGTCAAATTCGTAATGTATCTTAATTATCTACAGAACAATGACAAAACAGAATAATTGTAAATAGCTATTTTATTAATTAAAACTTGATCGATTATAAATAAATATTAAGGAACAATTTAATTATGACGTTTGGAACGATAAAAAAATTAATTACTAGTGAATATAGAGAGTTTAACGATACAATTTTAGTTGAAAGTCCTTTTAAGGAAACAACTCGAGATAGTAAAGATGTATTACGTTTAGTGCAGCTCGGTAAGTCAATAAACATGTGATAATCGCCTCCTTCGCCTCAGAATACATCATTTCAGTTTGCCAAGACTTTTGCGTTGCGTATGGTATCTAAATCGCATTCCTTACTAATTACCGAACCTACCTACTAGGTACCTACTTATTTTACCACAGTTAATAAGAACGTACTAAGTAATTAGATAGATAATCAATCCTTACCCCTGTACTAAGAGACATTAATTGAAAACCTACCCCGCCAGCCCCGCCCCTAGCAATGGGATTCGGAACAAAATCGTTTTAAGAGAATAACAGTAAACTGAAAATTACGGATGGCTACCATATTTGAAACAATATTTAAAGATTATTTGGGGTATTTAATATTAACCTACTACCTAAAGGTAGATAACAGATATTTTAATTTTAGGTTTAACTTCAAAAGCATTTATAATTGCATATGAACATGATTTTATGGACAAACCGATAACTTCGCGCGGAGTTAGTCCGCTCTGCCGAGCCTCAAGTGTTATAGAAATCCTTTCCATTCATCCATGGGAGTCGATCAAGTTATCAGTATTTAAAAAAACCAGAAAACAAATTTTAAAGGCAACGTTCATTAATGATGGTGTCCGGTATTTCGAATTGCTAGATATACCGAAAAAGAAAGTAAGTGACAGTTCAACTATCCTGCGTTTTTACTCATAAGGCCATAAATAGAAATTAAAAAAGTCCTATGCTTAGTATTTTAAAACTTTTGTTGAACCATGCCTATAACTATTCAGGAATTAGAGACAGCAGAGTTGTAAAAGCATCGAGCATACGGCATGTACCAGAAATATTTAAGTCATACAATGCAATCGGAAATATTCTTTCGCAGATATTTTGGTGTATCTGGCGTCACAACATTAAAGAACTAAATAGCTCATATAAAAAATGGCCCTTTACAATAATGTCTAACACTAATGTTAAGAACTGTAATCATGAAACACCTGAAAAACGTCTTGCAGAATGTATTGAACTACGATTTATAAAGCGTACAGAAAAGGTACCTAACTACTTATATACCAACCAATACCAATGCTACCTCATAAATTAATTAAAATGCTTGGATATAAGCATCATTAGCATGATGATAATTTCATTTATTGCTGCATACCACCCGTCACGTACACCTCCGCACTACCTGAAGGATGACTGGAAGAAAATACTTTTATCATTAAGTCCTCCAATATACTGTTGTATACATATAAATAATAAGGTTTTTTATGCAGGATAAATGGCCAACGTGGACTGACAAGTACTTATACTTAGGCTCACATAGAGAAGCTGAAGACAAAATCCGTCCTGTACCGCTTCCAGGTCTAGGGCGTGCAGAGGAGATAAAACTTTTATATCTAAAACCAAGGTATTTTGGCTGTTGGGAGCAATCTGAGCATTGGGTTCAATGTGGAGACAGTTCATTAGATGTTATTAAATAACATATTCATTAATATTTATTTACGAAATAATTTACCATGTTTTTATAAGTTTTTACAGTAATTTATATAAAGTTTTTCTAAGGAGGTTTTGTTTTCATTTACCTACAAAATTAAGATTTATTGTTTTATCTATACTTAATTTAAATTTTGTACTACTAATTCCAGTATAACATTACTCACTAACTGATCTAAGGAACACACAAAACACAAATATTTAAGAACAATAAAGATAATATCTTAAATACTACGGTTCTCAACCAAAAGTTTTTCTTAAAAAAGTATAAAACATAACCTACAAGTGTCAACTGTCATTTCAATGTGATCATGATCTGATCACTGCCAATGTTACTGTTTATTTAAAATAAAATGATCATAATTTACCAAAACATTTAAATTATTAGTGTGTGAAAATAGAAGAAATATTGCTTTCAAAATGTCTTTCCTGATGAGAATAGTGAGAAATTTCACCGTGCCTAAATACCGAACTAACATAGTAACACTGCAAAGTTTACAAAAAAATTCCAGAAAAATTCATTGTAGCTCACATTTGTGCGTGAGAATGTTTATGGAGCACGAAAATAATTACGCATATAGTATATTAGAGAACAAAGGGTATGCCATTAGCTTAAAAAGCGATACATCCAATAATTGTTTAAGTGAGCAAGAATTTCAAGAAGCTCTTAAATCCAACTGGTCGAAAAAATCTCATAAAGAAATATTTGATTATTTTCAAAAATTTGCTTCATATTGTACGGAACACAAGTTATGTATTTCTGACCAAATATTTGATACATACATAGATAGTCTCACAGACTGTATTAAACTTGGTACCGATGAAGAGTTAAAAACATTATTCTACACTCTGAATAAGTGGCCGGAAACACCATCTATCAGGACGCGGAATATTATAGAAGTATGGGCAGCACTGGATGATGAGTGCCTGAGCCGGCTAAAGAATTGGTCTTATGATGAGTTACTAACTTTCTTATCATTATTTTATATGATAAATGTCATAAGATATAGTGACTACTGCATGAAAGCTTTACAGAAACTGTCATCTAAGGCAAAGAATTTAACACCAGCTCAACTTGTGCAAACATTATTCTTTATTGGAATATGGAGAAAATCTCCATTTGATATGCACAATTTAGAAGTTGAAATAAATAAGAAATATTCTCAATTTACAATTGATGAATTGGCTATAATGTCTATGGGATACTTTAAAAGTAAAACACCAATAAGGGATCCAGAGTTAGTACAGAAAATTATCAACACAGTCATAGACAATTCAAAAACCATTCATGAAGTATCTTTGGCAGCTTTATTGAAACTAATTCGCTACTCCTCAAAGTCAGTCTTGGATGACAGAATAAACAGGCTACTAGAAGCTTTGCAGCATGAAGTGCCACGTTTATCTGTAATGTGCAATGTACATATGGCTCTAGTTGGAACTTCTACATTAAATTTACACAAACAATGTTTAAATAATATTGCTGCAAGAGTTATAAAATCCATGCCTGACACTAGGGTTAAAGACCTAGAAAGATTAGTTCTAACCTATGGCACATTTGGATTAAGACCTGACACAGAAGAATGTTTCTTCACTAAAGTAATTGATGAATTACGAAAGCCTGAAAGAATAACAGAAATTGAAAAACATGGCAGATCATTTGCATGCTGTGTAGGATACTTCACACTTTTAGGTATTTACCCAGTGGATCTAATAAAAAAAGTTCTAAGTCCAGAATTTAGAGAACAGACATATGGGAAGTACTGCTTTAACTATGGGAGAGAAATTTTGACTTTGAACAATGTGGCTGAAATATACTGTAGTGATGCAAAAATTAATCTTCTGGAAAATAAACAAAAAAAAATTTTAGCAAAAAAGTATACAGATTATGTGCCAAATGAAGAGTATGTTAAACAGTACAATGTAGCTGAACAAATGTTTTTGGATATAATGAAGGTCTTGAGGGAAACTCGTGGGGGTGATGAGTATGTTGTTGGTGACCATATCTTGCCTCATTATCAAAGAGGAGGTAGGAATTTAGATTTTTATTTTCCTTCATTTTTGCTTTGTCCTTGACAATAGACTGATACCAAATCCCTTTTTTTCAGATATAATAATTTGCAATGATCATAGTGGTACTCCTGTTCCAGTTAAAGGTGTTTTTTCAAGTTCTGACTTTGGTTTAATAAGACAGCTTCCTGATGATAAGACTTGGATAGTCTTAGTGATAGCTGGTAGAAACGCAATAATACATGGTACAGATAATGCAACGGGATTCTTTTCTAGTAAAGTCAGGGACCTTAACACATTAGGTTATCATGGAGTACTAGTGAGTATTTTTCATTCAATTTTGTTATTATTATAATCAGATCAGATCAATCTTTTGTCTCTTTTTGCAGACACAATTTATATCTTTTTAAGATATTTTCTGTGATTATTTTGTAATCATCAATTGGTTTCCATTCACTACTTTAAATGGCATCAAATCATCATCATGTAAATGCACATGCATGCACTGACGTGACAACGAAAGGCATATTCAGACATTAAAAAAAAAATAACATGATCATTTTTTCTTTACATTTTTTATCAACCTTAATTTTTTTAGTTTACCGCGCTTCTTTGTTATCCTTTATATATATTGTAAAAAAATGTTTTGGTTTTAATGTGCACTTTTGCTATTTTCAGGTTCCTTGGAGTCAATTCTCTAAGTTAAGAACTTCAGTAGAGAAGTCATTGTTCCTGAATAGTTTAATTGATAATGCTGTAAATAAAAATAAATAAATCATTAAAACACCTCAATGACTGGTTTTTACATTAGGTCAATCCCCATCAATCATAAAATCCCAACATTCAGAATTTATGAAAGTATCGATTTTGATTTGCATCTACCTACATCACTAGAAGTACTATTGTAAAAAATTCGCAGAGATACTAACACCACCTTTGGTACTCTGTATATTAATTATTATTTAACTTATAGACGCATATAATAATCGCCAGACCTACTCTTACAGTTATTAAATTCATTAGATCTTATTATTTAAATTCTTCAGTACTACTACTACAGTAACGCCATCCAGAACGACGATAGGTTTCCCTATATTTATTATACTCATTGTTCTCTCCTTATATATATTTTAATAACATACTATTATTGAACAGTTTTCATAAAATTCAGCCGATAAATTAATTAATTGTATCATCCGTGTCTTTTTTTTAACAAAAATTTTGCAAAAACAACACAAACGATTTTCTTCTGTGTGGTGGGTGAGTTTACGAACATACAATTTCACATACACATCATACCTAGACCCAGAAAAACAATATGTGGATTAGACAAAGCGTTGTTCCGTGCGGGAATCGAACTCATGAGACGTTGCGCGACAGCCAGTTCCTCAGTCACCGTGCAGCCGAATATCAAATATGTTGAGGACTTAAACAATTAGTCGAGTATCAAATCGTTTTCGACGTGAATGGAAAGTCTTAATCGCCACGAGCTGGCAACATTGACTAGGAGTACACTTTAAAACCAATTAATTTTAGTCTATGGTAACGCATCAGCAGCTTGCACATCAAAACGGGTGGATATTTTTCGCGCCCGGTTCTTGTCGTGCGTTAGTTGCTGAAAGAAAAACGTTAATCAATACGTTATGTATATTCCCTCGAATTGAGTTGTATAAATAATTGATAAGTGATATTTATTTTGTGTCATCATGTCTCAAACAGAGGAACCTATGGATGTTGCAGATGTAGGAGAAAATTCCGTAGGTTTCACTTACTGCACTGTTCTTAGTATTCGTGTTCTTAATGAGGATATGTTTTCAAATTGATGTTTCTTTGACAGAATGGATCCTCGAGCGATACCACGTCCTCAAGGGGTAAAGAAGGTGATTTTGAAAGTAAAATTGAAACAGATCGTTCGAAGCGATTTGAGTTTTTGTTGAAGCAAACGGAAATCTTTTCTCATTTTATGACAAACACTCCTAAATCTGGAGCCAGCCCTCCAAAACCGAAAGCTGGTAGACCTAAGAAGATTAAACTAGAAGAGAGTGGATCAGCTGGCGAGTAAGTAATAATAGAACTAACCTTCACCTTCCCTTTTTACAAACAATAATAAACATGTGCTTTCTGCCTACTACTTTGTTTATAAATAAATACTAAATAAATAAAATATTTAAGTGTTAAATAATGCTGATCAAGTAGCTAATGCTAAAAGTTGTCTTTAAGCTATAAGTACCTTTTTTTATTAACCCCTGAAACAATTCGTTATTATTATGTAGTAACATTGTATTTAAAATTAAACTATTTTCTTAGTCATCGTCACCGAAAAACTGAGCAAGAAGAAGATGAGGAGCTCCTGGCAGAAACCAACACTAAAGTTAAATCCATATTCCGTTTTGAAGCTTCCCCACCATATATTAAAAATGGTGAAATGCGTGACTATCAAGTAAGAGGCCTCAATTGGATGATCTCACTGTATGAAAATGGTATTAATGGTATTTTGGCTGATGAGATGGGTCTAGGAAAAACTTTGCAGACCATTTCATTGCTTGGGTATATGAAGAACTTTAAGTAAGTTAATTTTAAAATGTTTTCTTTGAATTTATTTTTATCTGTATATGTGACACAATAAAATTATTGTTTTATTGATAATGTACAGGAATGTACCAGGCCCACACATTGTGATTGTGCCCAAGTCAACCCTGACAAATTGGATGAATGAGTTCAAGAAATGGTGCCCATCACTAAGAGCTGTTTGTTTAATTGGTGACCAAGAAACAAGGGTATGTTCCAAACAATATGGTATACAATGTGTTTCTATATTATAACTTATTTATATAATGTACATTAAGTAAAAACAGTCCTTGAAGAACTGATGTCTTAGTAATTTTTAAACTCACCGTGATTGTATTTTAACTTGTAACAGTAATTAAATGTTATATTAGTGAAATTCTAACAACTTTATTATTATTTCAGAATACATTCATCCGCGAAGTCCTAATGCCTGGTAACTGGGATGTCTGCATCACATCTTATGAGATGATAATTCGTGAGAGATCAGTATTCAAAAAGTTTAACTGGAGGTACATGGTGATTGATGAGGCTCACAGAATTAAAAATGAAAAATCCAAACTGTCTGAACTGCTGAGAGAGTTCAAGAGTATGAACAGGCTGTTGCTGACAGGTACTCCATTGCAAAACAACCTTCATGAGCTCTGGGCACTGCTGAACTTCCTTCTACCAGATGTCTTTAATAGCTCTGATGTAAGTACTTTTGTTTTACTTCCATTGTATATACAAATTTTATGTATGGACCACTTTTGTGTGTTTGTAATACTAGTACTATTAAACTTTATTCTATTTATTTGTACTATGGCATACTAGTGTGTGTTGCAAGTTTATTAGATTTTCAGAACTAATTAAATAATCTTGAATTCCAGGACTTTGATTCTTGGTTCAACACAAATGCGGCTCTCGGAGACAATCAATTAGTGTCTCGATTGCATGCAGTGCTGAGACCATTTTTGCTTCGTCGTCTGAAATCTGAGGTGGAGAGAAAACTAAAGCCGAAAAAGGAGGTTAAGGTTTATGTTGGTCTAAGCAAAATGCAAAGAGAATGGTACACCAAGGTTTTAATGAAAGATATTGATGTAGGTTAGTATGAAGTTTCTCAATTACTAAATGTTTTATATGTAATTTATGTGGATGCAGTTAATAATAAATATGCGTTTGTATTCCAGTAAATGGTGCGGGAAAGGTTGAGAAGATGCGACTGCAGAACATTCTCATGCAGCTCCGTAAGTGTTGCAACCATCCCTATCTGTTTGATGGAGCTGAGCCTGGTCCACCCTACACTACAGACATGCACCTCGTAAACAACTGTGGAAAACTTGCTATTCTTGACAAATTGCTACCCAAACTACGTGAACAGGACTCCAGAGTGCTAATTTTCTCCCAAATGACCAGGATGCTGGATATCTTGGAAGACTACTGTCTTTGGCGCCAATATAAGGTATGGTACATGCTTTGAGTTTATCTGTCACCAAATTCTTTGATATGTATATCCACATGTTTATTTATTTATCTTGTTTTCAGTATTGTCGTTTAGATGGTCAAACACCTCATGAAGATAGAAACAGGCAAATAGAAGAGTATAATGCTGAGGGAAGTGAGAAGTTTGTGTTTATGTTGTCGACGCGCGCTGGAGGTCTTGGTATCAACTTAACATCTGCAGATGTTGTCATCATATATGATTCTGATTGGAATCCTCAAATGGACTTGCAGGCTATGGACAGGGCTCATCGTATAGGGCAGAAGAAACAAGTAATTTATATACTTCAAGTTTTTTTATTTCAAGTCAATATGGATGACTTTGTTTCCCTATTTGTGGTTGTGTCTATTTTTTATGTGATGTAAGCAATCAGCGCCGCCCATGAACACCCGCAATAACAGAGAAGTCCCAAGTGCGTTGCCGACCTTTTGGGGTTTAGAGACTTGTGAGATATAGGGATCATAGAGGGATTGGGGGAGGGGAAGGATTGGGTCTCCGGTAACCTCAAACACCCGGCGAAACAACGCTGTGGTGGTTTCATTCACGCCGAATTTCAGTGAGGCAGTGATATCACTCCGCTGGCGAGCCTACTCATTTGTGACGAAAAATGCATGTCACATTTTACGTTAATATCAACATTTTTTACTTACTTACGTTACTTTAAAAAAGATCAACATTTGAAAAAAAATGTTATTGATTTTTAAGCTGTAAAATTCAATATTATAAATTGATTTTTTATAGGTACGAGTATTCAGACTTATTACAGAAAACACTGTTGAAGAAAAAATTGTAGAACGTGCTGAAGTCAAACTGAGGCTAGACAAACTTGTCATACAATCAGGCCGTTTAGTCGACATCAAGAGTCAACTAAATAAAGACGAAATGCTCAACATGATCCGGCATGGCGCTAACCATGTGTTCTCGTCTAAAGATTCGGAAATCACTGAAGAAGACATTGACGTCATATTAGCTAAAGGAGAACACAAGGTAATGGCGTACGACATTACAAAGACCTTCATCTTTATGACATTGATGAGGTATCAAGATATAATAAACAATTTTGTTTTTTAGACTGAAGAATTGAAACAGAAGCTGGAGAGTCTAGGAGAATCTTCGTTGCGGGCATTTTCTATGGACACCCCTGGCGCAACGACTGATTCAGTCTACCAGTTTGAAGGTTATAAGCAATACTGATAAAACATTTATTTAAAGTGATTGTTGGAATTTGAGTTTTCAGAAAAATCCTAACAAAACTTTTTGATTCAGGCGAGGATTACAGAGAGAAGCAGAAAGTTTTACCCATTGGTAATTGGATAGAACCGCCTAAACGCGAACGTAAAGCTAACTATGCAGTGGACGCTTACTTCCGAGAGGCACTCCGCGTTTCCGAACCGAAGGCGCCAAAGGTACAGGTAAATAAGTGTAAAGAGCTAAATGCGGAGGTCAGCGCAGCAGTCTACTTGGTGGTGGTTACTTGGCAATATAATTATCATCTAATTCATGTACTTGTATTATGTAAATTAGCTCTTTATACTGGCATAAACGTAGATTTATTTAGTATTAAATTGAATGTAGTTATTTTCTGCTGTAACATATTTTTATCGCCTTATTTCGTAGATTATAATTAGAATTTTTAGTATATTATTTTTATCATTCATATATACTTTCTCATATGTGTATCTGTAGTGCTTTTCGTGTAGTTAGTTGGGGCTCTACTTGTGTTGTCCAATTATATATTTGCCTTTCTCATGTCTAGGCTCCTCGTCCTCCAAAGCAGCCGATTGTACAAGACTTCCAGTTTTTCCCGCCGCGACTTTTCGAGTTGCTGGATCAAGAAATATATCACTACCGAAAAACTTTAGGGTAAGAAATGAACATAAGATGAATAATGCCAGTCATATTGAATGGCAAATTTGAAATGTTAATGTATGTTGTTATATTGTATGATTAGGTACAAAGTACCGCGTAACCCAGAGCTAGGTCCTGATGCTGCCAAGATTCAAAGAGAGGAACAGCGGAAGATAGACGATGCTGAAGCTCTGACTGAGGAAGAAATTCAAGAGAAAGAACAACTGTTGACACAAGGTATTTTTTTATTGCAAGTGTGTTCATACATATTATTATATTTGAGAAAATGTAAATCATTTCTTTAATGTATTTTATTTGCGCAGGCTTTACGAATTGGACAAAACGAGACTTCAATCAGTTTATTAAAGCCAATGAAAAATACGGCAGAGATGATATAGAAAATATTGCCAAAGATGTGGAAGGGAAAACTCCCGAGGAGGTTAGTAAAATTCATTTTATACAGCAATAAACATTTTGGCATCCAACAATGTTTTGTTAACTTGTCTACTTCATATTTTTAGGTTATGGAATATTCTGCAGTATTTTGGGACCGATGTCATGAACTACAAGACATAGACAGAATTATGGGTCAAATTGAAAGAGGAGAAGCTAAAATACAAAGGCGAGCATCAATCAAGAAAGCATTGGACGCTAAAATGGCGCGCTACAGAGCTCCATTCCACCAGTTGAGAATTTCCTATGGAACAAACAAAGGAAAGAATTATGTTGAAGAAGAAGACAGGTAAAATTATTTAAAATATATACCAGTTACAAAAAAATATGTATTGCTATGCAGTGTTTGACATATGAATTTGGTTTCAGATTCCTGGTATGCATGTTACATAAATTGGGTTTTGACAAAGAAAATGTTTATGAAGAGCTACGAGCATCCGTACACGCAGCGCCACAATTCCGATTTGATTGGTTCCTCAAATCTAGAACAGCTGTTGAACTGCAGCGTAGGTATGTATGCATATCGGATTGATGCGCCCCTTCGCAAAAGAGCTTTTCAATAATGTCTATAAAATAAATTATTGATTACTTCTAGATGTAACACGCTCATCACTTTGATCGAAAGAGAAAATCAAGAACTGGAAGAAAAAGAACGAGCTGAAAAGAAGAAAAAGAGTGGTGCTGCCAATCAAAATACTCCTGGCGGTAATGCCACTGGCAAAGGCGCTAACACTAGTAAACGCAAAGCCGATAATACTCCAGACACTGCCCAGAAACACAAAAAGAAGAAGAAATGAACCCAACAAAGTTGAGCATCTTGATAATGATCATGATTTCTTATGTAACAATTATTAACATTGCAATGGTAAATAAAGCTATTGTCATACTTGTATCTGGATTTACATTCATTCTCGGTTCCTATCGAGACATCTATACTAATATTATAAAGAGGTACAATTTGTAAGTTTGTATGTAGGGGGTAATCTTTGGAACCACTGGTCGGATACCCAAAATTTTTTCACTGATAGATAGCTACAATGTTCCTGAGTGCTATAGGCTAAAACATCACGCTACGATCAAATGGAGCCGAGCAGCGAGTAAAACCGCGCGAGGGTAGCTAGTTAGCTATATTGGCATGTATGTCTATACTATTATACTCTATATAAAGCTGCAGAGTTTGTTTGTTTGATCGCGCTAATCTCCGGAACTACTGGTTCGAATTCAACTACTCTATAATGATGTATTTGTTAGTCCATTTATCGAGGAAGGCTATCGGCTATAAAACATCACGCTATGATATGTAGGAGCCGAGCAGCGGGTGAAACCGCGGGACAGTAGGTAGCTGTGTAGTGCTAATAACTGTGCATAATTAGTACAAAAAATATGTATTATTTGTTGTTGCATATTTAATGCGATTTTAGACTGGTTACATTTCCTTGTACATGATGGTCAGTTTGGTCTCAGCCAAGGCCTTCAATCGGGTTTAGCATAGAGCACCTCTTTCGAGGTTCCTTCCTATGAGCTTCCCAAGTATCTGTGCAAATGGGTCTCCAGCTTCCTTGCCGACAGTAGCATAAAGGTCGTGAGTGACGGGGAACATCTTGGAAAGCCTGTGCCCTCAAGGCTGCGTGCTATCGCCCACCCTGTTCCTCCATATCAATGACAAGTTGTAAATACTGATTTATGATGCCACTGGGCATTCACTATTATGCGGTATTGTATACATGGGTGATGCCTCTTGCGCCGGCTATGCTAATATTTCTCGGGAAAACATCACCGAGAGTCGAAACATGTCTGAAATAGAGACCTGTTTAGAGAAAATCTCACATTGGGGTAGACTTTATTTAGTCCAATTTAACCGCACAAAGGCACAGGTCTGCCTGCGTGTTCAGCATAGAAAATTGCTATTGGTCATATCTCCTCAGTTTCAGAGCACCAACGGCCTTGGTTGGAAGAATTCGGAAACTTGGTGTCGACATTTTTTTTTTTTTTAACATAACGAACTCTGCTATCATTTAGTTAGACGAGTTACGCTAAGTTAGCCTAGAAGCTACATTTGCTCAGTATTGGTCGTGTGAAATAATATTTTCGGTCGGTTCTGAATGCAAACCTTCAAGAAATGAGCGCGTCTCTGACTCCTCTGGTGCCGCAGGTGTCTATGGGCAGTTTAGATCACTTACCATCAGGTGATCTGTATGCTAGTTTGCCTCCAATTCCCTAAAAAATAACAATCTAGGTAGTGAGAATTGAGCTGATGTCAGTGTGCAAGATGTAACAATACAACTGTAATTTTATTGCTAATGTTGCTAATAACTTTTCCGTTGCAACTTGCTAGAATAGTAATTGCATAAGGTAGGGTAGGTACCTACATTTTAACTTGTAACACAAGTCAGTGATAAGAAAAAAAACATAAATACTAGAATATTTTATTGGCATAGATTTTTTGGAAACAATTTTGGTGTTTTACAGGAAACTGGGAAATTAAGTAAAAATTTTTGAACATTAAACATAGTCTGTAAAAATAATATATATGTATTGCCAATATGTTACTTCAGTTTTATTATCAAAAAGGTATAAATTGGTATTTTAACCAGCCTTTTTTATTTATTTTCATTTTGAAATACTCACTAAATGCAATTATATTTAATTACAATGCTAACAGATCTGCCCTAAAATGCTTTTGAAGCTTTTTTAGAACTAAGTTGTGTTTCTTTTCTGAAATGCATGCCATTATATTTATGAAACATGTCAAATAAACATTATTTTTGGAAGGATCCTAATAAATTGAAAATATAACCTGAAACTAGATTTCTACATTTAAATTAAAAATTACCACATTGACTTGGTAATTTTCATACATTCTCCCTATAATAGCTAGAGTTGATTAATATCATTGATTAGAAGCTTTGGTAACTTAATAAAAAGCTTTTGATAAGGATTAGTAACTGGTAAAAGCTTTTGATATGGACTTTAAAGCAACTGGAAAAATTCTAAGTCTAAGGAAGTAATAGGATAATATAATATACTTTTTAGAGTAAACCTGAGCAGATATTATTTTGTGGGAAAAATAATCACTCAGAGATATTATTATTATGAAGTAATATTTTATGCACTAAGAAGTCCTTACATGTGTAGCATGCAACTACACCGATATCACAGTTTACACTCAGTATTTTCTACCTTTTACACATAATCAGGTACAAATGCTATACTTAAAGTTTCTCCACTAAATAAGGTGATGGGATGGCAGTGTGTAGTTCACCATCCAGTCCTCATCAAGGGGAATTGCCATTTTCCATGTTGTCCTGGAAATTATTCACATTACTGGAAAATGGTGCTCCCAGTCCATAAAGATGACCACTTGTGCTTTCAATATTGCCATCAAAGAAAATCTGTAAAACCAAATGGTTTATTTCAATTACTTTTTGGTTCAGAAAATTATTATAGCCATCCTTATTAATATGAGATCTGATCAGATTATCTTGGTGTATATTAAGATATCAAAAATATTAGTAGTTATATAGTACATACAGCAGTTTTCAATGCACAAGGAATAACAGGTTATATTTATGTGTACATCAATGTTAAAAAAGCAAATAATAATTTTAAAATACATACTTCTTTGATTTTGAAAAATGCCATTCCAGTGAGATGTGAATCTGAACCAGCCTGGTGTTGCGGCCCAACTCTGCGAAGCTCCAACTGGTCAGCTACTTCTTGCAGGCCGCCTTTCAGGTTCTTGCATAACTTCATTAGGTACTTTGAATAAATTAACATTTTTAATTCAGATAAAATAAATATGAATTTTCATACTTTAATATCAAAAAGTGCACTTACCTTCACATCATAAACAGTTGGAAAATATAGCCGTAGACTTTCAAAGAAGTCATTTTCCTCTTGTGGTAGATTTGAATCAGTTAGGATTTTGAGTAAATACCCAAAGTCATAACCAGAATGGAAACTCAACCAGTTGATGTTGTCCATTAGTACAATACCTGAAACACAGTATGGAAGTAATAAATAATTTGTGAAGATTACTTGTCACAACACCATCATCAGTCTCTAAGTGCCCACTGCTGTGACTGAATTGGTGATTTAAAAATTATAAACAATTATAGGTCCACATTTCCTAAAAATGTATGCATGTAATGTAGTCTTCACCATTAATGAGTGGTGCCTATTACACATAAAAAGAACATATAAATGAAAAGTTACATGGATATATATGTAGGTTTGATACCCTCATATGGCATGGCACAAAGTCTCTGAGATTACTTGCAAATAGCCTTATAGTAATCACCAAATGATATTAACTGTTTAAATGTTCTAAGCTAACCTGAGGACATAAGAAGTTCCGCAAACTCTAATGGTTCAATCCCGTGTTCTTCATGTTCTCTGAACTGAAGACCTGAATTTTGTAGCAGATCTATTGAATCTTGCGCATACATGTCTTCTCTGAAAAGATAAATATAATATAAATAAGACAGATAGTCGTAAGTAGTATAAATAAACCCAAGATGTTAAAGGTAGTAAGTTATACTCACTGCAAGTTGAATTTGAAATTAAACTGCCAAGTGGTACAGCCAGGTGGGGTTTTGCCATTTTCATCCATAAATGTGAGACCTAACTGTATGATTCTTAAGAGATCAACATTGCATCTGTAAGCGACAAAGGCGGGAATTAGAAAACCAAACTTATTAGAAAATCTAGAGATGAAAATGAAAGGCCAAATGATTGTTTACCTCAACAGCTGATATTGATAGTCGGCAGTAGATCTAAATTCCCCGATTGGTCTTGCTACAACTCCCGGGAATTCGGTATCCATGGCCACCCAGTGAAACTTCTGCACGATCTAGAAAAATCATAAGTGAAACCACAGTCCTTTATAGGTTATCGTATTGTAAGAAATAAGTAAACATTTTTTTCTTTCATGTCTATGTTTCTAGTAAAACGATAGAAAATATTTAGTTTTTATTGAGTACTCCAACAGTTTTATTGAAATTAATTAATAATCTATACAGTTTAAAAGTTACCTGTCTAATAACATGAAACTCTTCATGAAGATTATGATTCCAGACATTTTTTATGGAACAATCTTCTTTTACAGTACTCGCTAAAATGGATCCAAAACTAGCAGCAGGCATCGGTAGATTCGGAATAAATTTTAACTTAGAAATAAATTGGATTGTGGTTCACTGAATCTAGTTAGCCTGTCTGTTTATGAATTTTTGTCGATCGCCAAAGTTAACAGAGTTTAACGAACCAAAGACAACTGACTGACGATTATTGAACTAATTCGACAGACATAGACTACATAAAAGTATAAGACCTAGGCTACACTGAAAACTGTGTTCCCATCATTTTGTTGAAGTTGTAATAAATTACTATAATGTATTTAAGGAGGATTTGGCATAGAGGGGCTTCTGATATTTTTTTACTGGAACTCTAGATTACGCGACAGGACAAAATAAGTAAGTTAGTAATCTTTACGTTTGAAATTTTAAAATGGGGTCATTTGCTTCGCCGCGAGAGTCACCCTTCCTTAATCAGTAAATTAAACGTAGTGCTTATATTCTCTTTGCAGTAAATTACCATGTACATATATGCTGCCGATTGAATGCGGACCTGGATGCCTTGTTGGGTATTGCCGTAAATCCGAGTGTCATGCGATAATTATAGGGAGATTCCATATCTTCGGTAGGGTTGACTGCTCAGCCCTACCGAATCGATCATTGCGATCAAATGATCTGTGGATGCGATCCACAAATATGATGCGATGATGCGATCATCTCTCTCATTAATATAATATTAGACATATAGGTATATATATATATATATAGATAATGATAATTGTTTAATCTGGTGTGTTTAGTGTAAAAAAAAGCTTCCGTCCACTTCGATCCATATCATTGATGTATGCTCAATGACGTATTATATATAGACACGTCATGAACCAACATCGCGGCGCTTAAAAACGGCGAAAATACTAGATAACTACTTCTTCTAGTAAAGAAAGGGAAAGAAAATATGACATCGTATAGTGGAATGCCTTTGCTAGAGGGAGATAAATATACATCTTCAGTTACATCACAGGATTAGTAAAACTACATTTTCATAAGATGGCCGCCATAAGATGGCGGGCGCCGGCGTCGAAAAAAATAAAATAAAAATAGGTTGTTTGGTGAACTTACGCATGAAATGACACATTTTTGTCTTTAACTTTTGGAGTATAATTTGTACATCGTCTGAACACACACGACGGCATGCTTTACTTATGTTTCGCACAGGTTTACACACACGATATAAATTAAAAACAAACGTAGCGTCGCGCGGCAGGTTGGTGCGTAACTAAGCGCGATGTTGTCAATTGCCTTCATTTCATGTTGTCATTTTAGAGCGCGGACAACGTATCTATAGATTTATACATCATTGTGTATGCTTATGTTTGCTATTACGACCTGAATGTAGATATACCTAGGTACTCAACGCTTACCTTGAAAACGCTTAACACATTCAGTGCCCCCGACGCGTATGTGCGTTTCCTCGCACGCACATACGCGTCGGGGGCACTGAATGTGTTAAAAGTTTTCGATTTCGATTCGTCTTCAACCTGTGCAAATATGTCTCTGCATAAGGCCCTGCGCAGACGGCACACTTTTTGTACGATCGAGTCTGCAGCGCACAAAAAGTCTGCATGGCGCGCAAAAAGTCGGTCGCGGATTTTTCACAGACTCAACGCACACGACGCACATCTTCGATCATTTGTCGGCAGAGCTGTATGGACGTAGACGCTATGGAAATTGCGCAGAGATCGCGAAATATTATTTTGTACATGAAGCACAGAAAAAGAAGAAGAAATACAGAATTTTGGGTTCATCCTATAGGTACTTTCGGGAAGATTACTGAAGGGACAGTTTCATACTAAATATTTAATTTTGAAACATTTACATACGGCAAAGTTTTTTTTAATTTTCTACGTGCGTTACGTCCACCCCTAGCAAATGCAAATTGCTGACTCAAAAGTGTGCACCGTCTGCGTTAGCGCGCGTTGAGGCCCTGCGCAGACGGCACACTTTTCGTGCAAACGAGTCTCCGGTGCACAAAAAGGCTGCATGGCGCGCAAAAAGTCGGTCGCGGATTTTCCACAGACTCAACGTACACGACGCACATCTTCGATCATTTTGTCGGCAGAGCTGTAGGGACGTAGACGCTATGGAAATCGTGCAGAGATCGCGAAGTATTATTTTGTACATGAACATGTTAAATAAATAAATATATGGACATTGATTGATTTTGCAAAGTTTTTTTTGGCAGGATCTTAAGATTTTGGAATACCTACTGAAATATTTTTATGCAGTCAAGAACCTCTCTTACCCCTTGAAACCTCCGAGACGTCGTTAAAGCAGCGGTAAGACCCGTCTTTGAGGGTTTGCTTGACAGACGCCATGGCATCCTCACCTTCCGCCTGACGTAGTTGCTTACCGGGCACGACAGCTTCGGTACGTTCCTGTTACGGATCCGGCCGGATCCGGGAGGAAACGCCCGAGTGTCGTCATTGTAAGGTTCACCCAGGGGACACGACGGAGGATACGGTGGCGGTGTGCCTTGCTTGGGCTACGCCCTGTGTCCTCAGAAAAGTGATCGGCGGCGGCGTGGCGACCGAGAGGAACTTTGAAACCGTCTCCTCTTTCTGTGAAACAGTTAAGACGAGTTTTTTTTATCATCAAATGACCTCTCCCGCCCAGGGTAAGGCGAGAGAGAGTGTTCAGCCGGGGTTGCGGGGTAAGCGCAATGAGGCACCGCGGCCTCGGTCTAGAACAGGAGAAGGAACGTCATTTGATTATTTTAAACTGACAAAAAAAAAACTATTGAAACTAACTTCTTACCAGTGCGACACCTAATAAATAGCGTATAAATTCCAATCCACCCCAACATAAAGCCAGAAATTTGTTAAGTTGGCTTAGCGTTTTTCATTCATATAATTTACATCGTGCGACACGATACATTAATATCTACATACTTATGTTATGGGCTTAATAATTAAAAGACCAACATTTATTTAAATCAACATTTAATAAAAATACGAATTAACATGTTTGAAAACAACAAAAAAGTATATACAAGCTTAGTCTTAGTTACATATGCAATGTCCTCTGTAAACACTGGTTACTAATATAGATTTGTGTAAAGCCTTTTTTAGAATAGCATTTTATGAATAGTTGGCGGGAATGCCGTCTTTGCTCCAGTCAAGCTCCACAGATTTACCGGTGCGTGCGCTTTCTTCAGCTGCAGTAGCAATCTTACTGATGGCAAGAGTTTGGTAGTCGGTTACCTCCATTGGGACTCCACCTTATAAAACAAATGAACAATAAATAAATTGAATTTTAATTCCTTGGTGCTTTGAAATATCGGGTCCAGAAGGATGGTCGTTGAAACAACTACCTAATTCTCTATGAACTGAAGCTGATCTACTCAAAAGCTTGTCAAGAGTAGGACGTGTCGTTTTAGGTAGGTACTTACTTTTTACTATAATATATTTTTACAGAATTAGGTATACATATAATAAGGGACAATATTTTAAAGTTTTCCTCTAGTTTTATACCTCCTTAGTAAACCATTACTGGGCAGGTTGAGAGCGAGGTATGAGTACATTAATTACTAGTTAATGAAAACATATTTATATATATAGTATTATGCATACTGGCGAGAAAAAACTTCTACTTTTTGTACGTGTGATTCGGTGTGATAAAAAGTTAACTTACGCGTTACGACATCTAAGAAGTGCTCCAATTCATTTTTGTAGCCCTCCCTGAACCTTGAAGGGAAGGAATAGTAGATAGGACTCTCCTTAATACCCTCGTGGCCGATGTAAGCCTGAGTCGAGTGGTACGGTCTCTCATTTTCAACCTTAATCATTCCTAGAAAAAACGATAAATTAAGTACAGAGACTGACACACCTAATTGGCAAGTACCTAAGCCACATACCTAAGAATAATTCAGTAGCTGGCCCATCTGTGTCAATGGTCAATACGATAAAATTCACGGGAACAGTAACATAGTAATACTTAGTACATTTTCTAATTTAATAATGACATTAAGAATTCTTAATTTCTTCTTTAAATCAATAACGTTGTATGACTCATTCACGTAACTGTTCTAGGTAAGCCAACACTAGTTTCACGTCCCGACAAGAACCCAAAGTTATGTGCAGTACTTTCCATCAACGAGTTTCGATACTGTACCGTACGACATATTATATTTAAATGGAAGTGTCCAATATCATTTTCTTTTTATAAAGTCGTTTTGAAACGAAGTTCACTCACCTTTGTTTCCAAAAACTTCCAATCGTTGGTCGTATCCATAGGCGGAGTAACGACTGTTGTCTCCTAGTACGACTGTACCAGATGGGTACGTGAGAAGGAAGGCGATGGTGTCGAAGTCATCGATAGCTTTCACTTCAGGAATAAGGGCTGAAGCGGATGCCTGGACACGGCAGGGCAACTCTCCAAGCACCCAGCAGGCCATGTCGAAGTCATGTACCAGGCAATCGTGGAAAACACCACCTTAAAAACAATTGAATAAATAAAATAGTTAATAAGTATAAGTACTAACGAATTAGCTTTAAAACTATTTTTTTTATTAAGTAGTTATGCAAAATAAAAAATTAAAAAATACAATAGATACCTAGTTAAAGGAATATATTAAAAGTCGGTTATATTAAAAAATACACTACCGCATTTATATTAGATTATGTATTTAATTAATAATATAATACCTACTTCAAACAAGTCCCTAGATAAGTACATGTTTCCTATGAATATGAATTGGATCGCAATAAACTTAAAAAAAAATATTGATGTTCTTCTATTCGATTTTCACTACTGACTGAACTAGTTTTTGGAGAAGTAGATCTGATTGTATATCTAGTTAAATGGTTTCCAGAAAATTCTTGTATTATGAGAGAACCTGCGGGCTGCAAGTTATCAGTTATTTTATTGGTACCTACTATAGGTACTTTCATTCTCATATGTTATATCATACTTATATGTAGGTACTTTAATACTCGTAAAACGTAAACTTAAATCAAGTCACATGCGAAAAAAGTTGTTATCATTAGTTAAGTAGATATAATTGAAATAAATTTATCTGATACATATATTGTTGACAAAACTTTAGAGCTGTTATCAATTAAGCATAATATGTTTTGATTTTTTTACTTGCTACAATAACATGGTCTTATTATTTTTTATACAATGAATAATAACTGTCAGCTTAT